AACCACTCCTTGAGCAACAGTCACAAGATCAATCATCGCTTGATCCAGAGCTGCAAGACCTGCCACCCCTTGAGCAACAGTCACAAGATCAACCACCGCTTGATCAAGAACTGCAAGATCAACAACTAGATCAACAGCTGCAAGAGGAACCACTCCTTGACCAACAGTTACAAGATAGCCCACCACTTGACCAACAGCTGCAAGATCAGCCATCTGATCTACAGCTGCAAGAGGAACAGCCAGAGAAACAGCTGCAAGAACAGCAACAAGGAGAACAAGAACAACAGCTGCAATTACAGCCAGAAGGGGTAATCGAAGCCGAGCCCCAACAATTAGAGGCTCCAGTGGAAGCCCCAGTGGAAAACTCAGTGGAAAACTCAGTGGAACCCGAGTCATCGTCAGCACCTGAAGTCGCAGCGGAAGTCGTACCAGACGTTGCCCCGGAGCCATTGCTAGAGACAGAACTGGTGCCAGCGCAAGAAGTGGAGCAAGAACAACCACAGGCCACTGTTGAAGAAATTTCCACAATCCCTGAACCCGAGCAACAACTCCAACCACCGACCAATCCTGAAGAGGATGGTTCTGCCCAAGTGACTGCCCCCGACCTCTCCTCAAGTCAGCAGCTAGACGCGAGTGATGTCCAGCGAGACCCCGAAGTGCCTCAAGAATTGCACCAAGAGGAACTAGGAGCACCAGAGCATCCAGTTCTGGAGGCTGCTGAAACTACTCCGGAGAATATCGACGTATCGAAGGAGCAAGTTGTCGAACCACCTGAGCCGACCCCAGTGACAGCACCACAGACCCCATTGTTCTCAACAGACCCAACCACGGCTTCCGTAGAGACCCCATCTGCAACGGAGACTCAATTCGCTGAGTCGGCATCTCCCACAAAGACCGACGCTCCAGAGATTGAGTCACACGCAGCCCCTGTATCTGACCCCTCCTTTGAGGCAGTTGAGGCAGCACCTACTTCCCCTGCCCGCCAAACTACCCCACCTGTGTCCAAGCCGGCTTCTCCTGTGCCAAAGCACGCTTCTCCCATACCTAGGGCTGTTTCGCCTGTACCTAGGGACGCTGCACCTACACCCAAAGCCGCTTCGCCGGTTCCTAAGCCTGCTTCACCTGTACCTCTGGCAGCCCCACCCATGGCTGAAACTGTTTCGTCGATGCAGGAAGCCGAGCTTCCTGCGGAAGTTATCCCACCTGCACCGACACCTCCGCCGGTCGCTTCTGTATATCAAGAACCTCTGTCCATGCTACAGAATCCTTCACCAGTCCAGAAGATGGCCTCTCCTGTATCAAAGGCAGCTTCGCCATTAACGAAGGTCGCCTCTCCTGTCCAGAAATCTGCATCGCCAAAAATTACCAGCCCCCTCGCCCGCCACGCTTATATGTCACCGATGATATCCCCGCACGCTACGCCACACGCTACGCCGCCGGTACAGCCGGCAATGGCTCCTATGCCCCATATGCCCCCTATGCCTCCTCCGAGTACTGCTCCTAGCGTAGCTAGCTATGCTACAGCTTATTCCCCCGTCATGACCACTGCTGGGTTTATGCCCCAGTATGCCTTCTACCCCCCTGGCATGCAACCCACCCCCCGGAGCTCTATGGAGCCCAACACCGCGACAGCCTTCCAGCATTTGCGCGACCTGACTTATGCCAATGGGAATGGATTCTTCGCCCCTCAGAACGGACATCACAATGGCCACAACGGTCATCACAAGGGCATGATGTCGCCTCCAGAGCATCCTGTTGAAGAACCAATTGAACTTCTGCAGAGAATTCAAGACGCCATCCCAGACATAAACCGCTTGTTGAGCAGTTACAGAAATACGAAGAGCAAGCTGCAAGCCCGCGAAGCTGAGTTTCAACAGATGAAGACCCAGCATGAGCAGGATTTGATGCACAAGGACTTCTATATTGAAGCTCTTCAGACGCAAATGAGGAAAACTGCCAATGAGGCGGCGGAAGAGTCCACCAAACTGAAGAACACAATCAACGAACTCCGCATGGAGCTGGGCAACCTTGACGAGAAGCGGAAAGATCTCGAGGAGAAGTTGGAGGACTCCGAGAAGTCAAACGAGGAACTGACGCAGAACAAACATGACCTCGAAGAGGAGGTCAGGACGCTTAACACTAACATCAAAGACGCCCAAGAGGCTCATGAGAAGGAATGTGAGAGGCGCGAACAAGAGAAGGTGGACGCTCTTGCAACTCAGAAACGGGAAATGACCGAGTCTTTCGAAGAAATAAAGGCCGAGGATGAGAAAGCAGCAGCAGAAGCGTTGGCGGCTCGCGAGAAGGAGTTGCTTGACCAGCAAGAAGCAATGAAGAACGATTATGAAGATCAGAAACGACAGATGCAAGAAGCACATGATACATTGCAGTCAAACTTCGATGACAAGGTGAACGAATTGGAGTCCACCAAGACCGATCTCGAGAACAAGCACAAGGAACTCGAGGAGACTCGTGTGCAACATGCCAATGAAGTTGAACTCCTCAACAACACCCATGCTGATCATGTTGCTGACATGGAGAGGCGCTGGGCCGATGAGAGGGGCGAATTGGAGCAGCGCATCACGGACAAGTGCGATGAACTCGCCCACTGTGAGCTCGAAAAGCAGAAGGTGGAAGAGGATAATGTTGTCAAGGAGCAACAACTACAGGCAGCATCTGACGGCATGCGCTTCACCATTGATAATTTGGGCAAAGACTGCGATAGGTTGAGAAAGACCCTTCACAGTCTTGGAGAAGCCACTGACCTCAAGAGCACGAAGGGTGATCCATTCTTGTAAGTGTGACCTAGTGCATTGAGAATGTGTTTTAGTACTTGACTGTCTTTCAAAAATTTCCTTTTGTCTTCTTAATCTTCCAGACTGTCTTCTGTGTTGCCTTTTTTTTTTACTGTTCTGGCCAGAACTGTGCCACGTTCATTTGCTTTCTTTTGTCCTTTTCGATTTTCCCTATAGAATTATGATCACGATGGTGACGAAGATTATGAGATGTCAATAATGCTATCAATTGTACCTGCTCTGATAAGAATTCTATAATCTAGTTTGGACTGCTTCGCCCAGCTTTCTCGTCTTATTGTTTCCTTGTCTAAGGAGCACTTTGCGTACCTTCCAATCGATCCTCCCAAGGATGTACTGTCCAAGATACCTCAGGAGCTACCATCCTTCCTTGATAATACCCCGGCATCGCGTGAACTGCGCTCCGCATACGTTCAACATATCATCTCGAAGACTTTGACTTACCGAATCTTCCATCCGTTTCTTTTCACCTTGGGCAAGAGGTACGGTAAAGCGGACACTTTCTTCCAGATGCTCTCGATGGACATTCGACGCAAGTCTGTGAGACGTGAAGCCTTCTGGAGGCAGCAGACGCTGAAAGCCGCGTACACGACTTCTGATGCCAAGCAGTCGATCAACGTTGTGGCCGCTGTGATTGTTGACGAGATCATCGACCACCTTAAACACTTTGCCGACCCTAAACACATGGACACCCTTCATACAAGCGTGCGTAAGATTGTCAAGTTGGCTGCTGAGACGTGGAGACTTGCTCGTGTCGAACGGGAACTCATCATGGCTTCTTTCCCAGCGCCCGACTCAGAAGGCACCTCAAATGAGATCTGGGAGGAATATGGAACCCCGAAAGAAGGCTGTGTCGGCTCCAAGGAGGACCCTACTCGTCACGTCATTCTGCGAACTTTCCCTCGTATCATTCGGGAGGCAGCGCATGAAGATTTTGCGGAAGACGAGGAGAAAGCCCTCTCCTGTACTTATACTCAAGGCAGTGTTTTGTACTCCGACTCCCCTGTGGTTATGGCTCGACGCCAAGAGCTGGCAAGACGATCCACGGACTCCCTCGTCGGTGGAGAGGAAAGGCCTCGAAGCGAGTCGAGAGGGTCTTCACGTTCTGACGGAAAGCCCAACTCACCCAGGAGAGGTAAAGCAAGCTTCGATACCTTGTAGAGTGAACAGGGTGCATTGGAAGACGTGAGCGCTGCTGAAGGTGTAAAGGCAAAGCATCATAGAGCTACCAGCTGTTGGCTGTACATGAGTTACATTTCTGGGAAAGGGTTGTCTTGGTTATTCCAGTGGGTTAAGTGATCTGAATGCGGTGTTTCGGTTTGTTCAGTCCTTTGCAACAATATACTTCTGTTCCATGATAGGGCTGCTAAGCTCGAGAGCAGAAAAACATTTGTCATTCTTTTATGCCCCTTTGTGCTTCTCACTTTTTACCTCTCCTTCTTTCTTTTTTTTCTACCTTTTTCGTATAGCATTTGGTGGGAGTTTTAGCGTGTCTTTTTCTTCGTCTTTATTGTACTCCTTCTTCCCTTCTTCCATTCCCTTTTTCTTCTTCTTTCCCTTCCTTCCTCTTGTTGATATTGTCTCCCGCGAGAGATATCTTTTTACTTACACTCTGCATCCTGCAGTGTTACGGTTTTCATGATGTGTATTATTTGTTATGATGCATGCTCATCGGGATGATGGCACTTTCTAATGTATGTGATGTCAGTTGACGAAAATGATCGGGAGTCCCTTCCTTCGGTTCCGATGACCTTTGTATATATTTTCAATCGAGACTATAGTATATTGCCTTGATTTCAATGGCCAGCGATATCGGACTGACTGTGCATTTAGTTCCCTACCGTCCGGCGTCGAGATCGCCCTGACCGCTATAGTCTACAATCAGGAGGGGGGAGGAGCACAGCCACGCATGACTAGGCCAGGATGGAGAACAGAAAATATCCGATTTAGTTTTTAAAGCTTGTTCCGACCTCCAAGTCGCATTCTCGCGCAGCAAGTCTGGACTGGACCGAAACATCGTGCACAGCCTCAGGCAGGGCTGATTGCATGACTAACCCAACTAACACGACGCGCGGAGCATAATTGGTCGATATGGATCGATGATCGATGTACCCCGGGCGCTTCCTCGGGGTTACTCTGGTCAAGATGCTTCTAGTAGTAGGTACTAGTAGTTGGTATTGAGGTAAGTTAATCGTGGCGCAGTCGTTTCGCAACTAGAAATGTCTGCAACGGGAAGAATCATCACTCTATTCAGGTTAACCTTCTAGAGGACCATTCACTGAACAAGAGTTCTTGAATCGGTGTCCGGTTCCTGTCCGCCCATGTTGTGGGTGAGAAACAAAGCGATATGAGTGGAGGTTTAGCATTTTTTTAGTGGACCAGAAAGATACCTTTGGTACCATAACTGACTGGTCTGTGGTTCATGATATCGAACAACATTTACATGAACCTTTTTTCATTTTTGTTCTCCTCCCCTTTTCATAGAGAGGAGGGTAAAAATGACTTAGATGCGAGTGCATCAGAACTTATAGTAGATGGGTAATACATCGGAGTCCGCCCCGATGAAGATTACCCGTTTCGTTCCCTTTTCCCTTTCGTATCTTGAATGCGGAATGACCACCTCAAGGATCAGCATCCTACAGGTACTGAATATAGAACACCAAATGGGGCCGGGGGGCTTGACCCTCTCTTTTCCTCACATCGGGCCACAGCACCAAGATTTCATGCTCATTTTAATTTGATGATCCATTGCTGACAGTGGTACTGCGCAGTATCCTGTTTGCTGATTCGTGACGCAAACCGAACAGTTCCCTTTTTTTTTTTTTTTCGCCCTTCCCTCTCTTTTTTCCAAAAATCCGAGGTCCAAAGGGAACAATAAAAGCCGTGTAGATAATGATAATCCTCCCTCTTACTGAATGGACCTAATGAGAACCCCACTTCGTTCTCACTGGCCAGCCACGCGCCCACACTTTCTTAACACCGGCGCCTGTTGAGCATGAGTGACTCCATCCTGTCAAATTAATTTCTTGAGAGTTGGCTGAGTTAATCTCTCTCTCTCTCTCTCCTTCTCTCTCTCTTTCTCTTTTTTGAGCAGACGGAAGAATGTAATCTTTCCCGTCGTAATAACAAATAAGTTATAATATGGAGATCAATAGTACTGGTTGTTATGTGCATTTATGTGTATGAGCCTCATTAAACAAAATAGCCTTGCCATCACGTTACAATCTCTCAAGAGGCTCTTCAAGGGGAAAAGAAACACATGACGTGCCCTCTTCTCCCCTCTTACTGTTGGTTTCCCTGTTCATTTGTGGCTCAGTCCTCATTTCAGCCGCAAGGCATCTTTTTCCAATTCTTCTTTCTCTTCCTCTTCCTCTTCGTTCCTCCGTCCTCTTATTCTTTGCATTTAATCTTGCACAATACTACGGGGGATTTTTCCACTCTATTTCTCCTCGATTTGGCTCGTGCTTACCCCTCTTTTTGCGTATTTGTATAGGTAGCCAAGACTCTTCTACCATTATCCTCAACCAACTTTCTCGTTAATCTGCCCTACAAGGCGCCGTTACGCTTAAAACTCCCCCCCCTTTTTTTCCTTCTTAATTTCTGCTCCCCATTACCATTAGCTCGACCCAAACTTTTGAATCCACGGTTCTTTTTGTTCCTCCAGTGGATTTTATATCGACTTCGTTTATTTTCTTAACATTTCCCCCTGGCCCCGTTGCCAGTAAAGGCAATTTTTGGAAGTCAGTCTACGTCATTGGTCGAGAACAAGCTGAATTGCGATCAAGAACGCCCACAGAATGATTCCTGCGGTGGCCTAATTTAAACCGGCTGCTGTTTACGGATTCTAATTCTGCTACATCTATATACAATATATCTCATTGACTTATTTTTTATAATTGCATAAACTGCTGCTTTGCTCATCGATGGCTTTCTAGACATGCGCCCTCAACTCTGGTTTCCATCTTTGTGAGCTCTACTGTACTGGCCCGAGGGACTGCGCGCACACGTTCGCAGAGCCATCCGGAAGGGAGAACAGGACTGCAACATTCTTCATTTCTTTGGCTTTGTGCTAGGTTCGCGTGAGAAAGAGGCATCGGATATTCGACTTACCTACAACCATGTCGACTATATCGCCTCAGTTCGTCACAAACGACTCGCCCAACCCCGCAAAATTAAATGACACTTCCTTTCCCGACCCTTATCTCTCGGCCCAGCTAGACCCTGAGGTAGCATCTTTCAGATCATCTGCCATCAGACTAACCCCCGTGAGCGGCGAAGATCACGCACGCGCGATGCCTCCTCTTCCCCTATAGGTTCGCATGTTCACAGCGACTCGCCCCGCGATGAAGCACACCCGGCCTCTTATTCTGAATACCTCAGCCCCGCGGACGATCTCTCCAGTGAGATGAGTGTTCATACGTCGCCAAGCGCCGATTACCTGTCGGCAGCCTTGAGTACAGACCTATCTCCAGACTCGAATAGTTCGCAGCATGACGGTGGTTTACATCCAGGCATGCGCAGCACTGCCTTGGACCCGAGCGAGTTGAACTCTACACAGATGACTATGGATCCCTCTCAGTTACTCACTCCGAATCTGACAAACAAATCAAGCTTGTGTTCTGAGACAACTAGTATCAAGAGTCAGACTGGTTCTATTACCTTGCAGAACCAACCGCAGGCACTCACTCTCATCACCGGTCCCCCCGATGAACGTCTGGATGTGCCCGTAGACCTTTGCTCTCCCAGGGCCAGAAGCCCAATTGTCAAAATTGAGAGTTTTTCCCGGGGCGATTCGCCGGTAAGAGATATGCGGCGACCAAGTCATTCTTCAACACACCTTTCCCCCGGTGGGCCATCTAGCGAATCCGACGAGGAAGCAGGGGTGGATAATGGCAGATATCTTGGATCTGTACAATCTGTCTCGCGAAAACATGATGGATCCTGGATACCAAATGCGGCTACTGGCCACGCTGGTGTGGACCCTATATCCCGGGAAAATGTTTACGTGCCAAGCCCGAATGAGCTCGAGCTGCGGCGACAGTTGGATGAGAAGAATGAAGATATTCGATCTTGGTCGGCCTCCGTCAGTGTGGCGAATAGTGAGAATGGCGATGACCCAACCCCACACCCACACAGGGGTCGCAAGCACACAGGTAACCGACGCAGAGCGAAGAGCGCTGGCGACCCTTCGCTCCAACAAGATTACTTCAACTTGAAAGTCGCTCTCATCCCTGGGCCAGGCGTACTCGTCACAGAGAACAGCGAAGAGGAATACAGCGATCATGAATCGGACTGTGAGGGACCCGGCTCGGAAACCCCAGCTGCCAGTGTGAATGAGGCAAGATGGGCTTTGGAAGAACAGGAAATGCCGCATAGTCCTGAACAACTCAGTCCTGAAGGTGAAGAACCGTCACCTCATCAGTTCCTGGGGCGACCTCCTTGGCGAGATCTCGTGTCGGCCCCTTCGCCGGACATGGCACGTACGCAGCCTACAAGCTCAACTGCAGCCATGGTCGAGTATGAGAGACGTGCGAGGGATTTGGATACTGCTTCGCGCGCGGCAACTTGGGGTACCCGCGACGTCGATATCAATAGTCTCGTTGGTGCGGGGGGCTCCTTTGAAAATTTGTCGATCAGCAACGACAAAAGCAGGAAACACGAGAGGCGAAGCAGTCTCCGCAAACTGTTGCACAGGAAACCGTCCAACAATCTCAAACCGCCTAACAATCTCAAACGGCATCTGTCTGATCTGTCTCTTTCGCTACCTGGCTCCGATGACCACAGCAAGGGCGACGAATACAAAGGCTCCCATCAAAGGAAGAACAGCTTCCCGCATCGCAAACTGAGTCTTGGTCTTTCACCTAGGTCGCCTAGGTCTTCCAGGTCTCCTAGTTTGAGCACTGGAGGTGCCGTTATTGCCATAGCCGGGCAAATGGCCGCCATTGGTGGAAAGGATACCCTTCGGGCGGCATCCCCGAGTTCCACGAGCAACCCTTGGCCTTCGCTCAAGGTCCGTGGACGAAGCAGAAGTGAAATACCGAGACCGTCAACACCTGGACTCATCGACCTGATGACAAGCCATGGTGGGCCCCCGGTTGCCAACATCGCATATTCACACTTACAGCCAGAACCTCGCAGCGCCCCACCAAACCAAACTCGACTAGGACATGGCACCCGTGACGATGATGAGACCGACTATAACATGGCTGATGATAGAGGATTAGTGATGGATCTTTCTGTTCAATCACGCCTCCCCGTGCCTACATTGGAAGGGTTCAGGACCCAGATCGCTCAGCTAAATCCCCGACTTCAACCGGCACTACTTGACCGCTTTGCCAACGAACAAGTTCGCCGCTACAAAAAGTTGGTGGAAAACAAATTCACTCATACTTGTGCGGTTAGCCAGAAGAGCTGTGCTTCGGGCAAATTCTGCTTTGCCCAGGGCGGCGAGGCCCTCCTGTTGGCGCCTCGTGCAGGCCCCCAGGACTCAGAAACCCCCCATACGCAATTCCAGATCCCTGGGCATGGTGAGACCGGCGATGATTCTCAAGCCCTCGGGGAAAGTGCTGTCACCGCGGCACAGTTCCCTCCGGGGGTCCCTTTGCCGCCAGTCAAGCGGCTCCCAGCGGAGTTTGAATGCCCAATATGCTTCCAGGTGAAGAAGTTCCAAAAGCCATCAGATTGGACCAAGCATGTCCACGAAGATGTGCAGCCGTTCACCTGTACCTTTGCCCATTGTACCGAACCCAAATCGTTCAAACGAAAGGCTGATTGGGTACGGCATGAGAGCGAACGGCACAGGCAACTAGAGTGGTGGACCTGTTCGGAGCCCGATTGCAACCATACTTGTTTTCGAAAGGATAATTTTGTACAGCATCTCGTCCGCGAGCACAAGATGCAAGAGCCCAAGGTAAAGAAAACCAAGGCCAAGGGATTATCCAAACATCCGGTAGATCCGAATTCACCCGAAATGCTGGCAGAGATCCAGCGCGAGCGCGAGATTGAGCAGCTCTGGAACCTTGTGGAGCAATGTCGGCATGACAATCCGAAGGGGCCCAAGGATGAGCCGTGCCGGTTCTGCGGTAACGTCTGCAGCAGTTGGAAAAAGCTTACGGTGCATTTGGCCAAACACATGGAGCAGATCGCGATGCCCGTGTTAGCTCTCGTCAACGAACGGAACCTGTCGTCCAACCTGGGACCGGATTCTACTGGCAAGGACGATCTCGGCTCCGAGCCAGAGTCGATCTCGCGTGAAACCACCAGTTTTGCGCCCAATCTGAACGGGATCCAAGCTAGGGCAGACATGCCAATAGGCTACACACAGGCACCATACCCAGGTCATGACGTTGGGCAGTCCGACGGGCTTGAGGTCCCTTTCAGCTCCACCAGCGTTCCCCACTTTACCACCATGTCAGGCGCGTTCATATCCGCCGAGCCGGAACCGATGGACGCGTACGATGAGTATAGTGTGCAGGTGGGACTCCAGCCAGGGGGGCCCATGGACCAGTCGCGGCTCATGCCTATGCACCAGAACTCAGTGACATATCCTCCCCCTTTCAACGCCGGGCCGCGCCCTCGGGTCTCCCATCAGGATATGAGCGTATTGCAAGAATCGTATAATTTCTCCATGTCCCCCACGGAGATGCAACCGACCTATGACCCCCGGTACATGTCATCTACGGGGGAGAATGGCTATGCCTGCCAAGGGACCATGGCACCCACCATGCCATTCACTGCGCCCGGGACCTACCCAAACCAACTCTAGTAAACCGGTTTACCACTCGATCGATACAGGACCGGGCCGTAACCGTCTGCCCCATCACATTTATTTGATTCTTTTTGTATTATCATGATACCCTAGCGCACTAGTTTGGCAGATCGTGAAGGAAATTTTCTATAATATGATCTGAAACGGCTTTATTACTTTGGGATTCCATCACTTTTTTTTCCCCTCTCTTTTTTCCACTTTCAACACCCCTGCGTATTGATCACATTATATGGGGGATTTTCTTTTTTGGATCTCTGGAGACGATCGGTCTACATTGATATGCCCATAAACAATAGATGATTTACTCGATGGTCTTGTCTTGGCCTTGGATAGCATGCGTGTCAAGTGATAATTACTTTTTTACGCTCTGGTTCCAGCCGCTGGGCTTTGTTGGTCGTCTTTTTTTTCGTTTCCTTTTTGCTTTTTTTGAAGAAAAAAAATTTTTTCTTCTGTCTTTCTTTCATACTCTCTTTTCCCTTGGCAAATGTTTTGACTTTTTGACTTTGTTGGTGCTTACAGACATTTTGGACCCACGAATGATAGACGTTAAACTACCAACGCTGTGGAAGTGACTAACGATTTCTTCGACGTGGGATGTAGGCAGGAGGAACCTCCTCTGAGAAATGGAGGGTCTCTGTGTATGTGTGTGTGTGTGTATGTACGCCCTACCTCAGAACTAGTAGTACCTAAGAAGTACTAGGAGTCGCTCTATGAGAGCCCGAAAAGGACAGTTGCTCGACGGATGATGATTGGACAAACAGACCATGCACCTGGCCCAGAGAGAAAAGCACGAAGAACGGGGAATCTTACACCTAGGCCACTAGGTGCAGAGTTCTAAGGAGGTTGACCAGCGAGGGAATCTCAACCGGCAAACTGTCAGCTTGAAAAGGGAGAAAAAGAAATGAGACATCACACAGCCGGATGCATTCACAAGGTCCCGGCGTGCGACACATCCCTGTTAATGTTATTCTGTTATAAATAGTATTCAGTAACCGTAATATTGCAGAACTGAGAGACCTTCACGATGGCTGATTTTAGCCTCCGCAAAGAAAAAGAAAAGTTAAAGTTAAATTGAATAAATAAATAAAAAAGAAAGGGAAGGGAAACGACTAAAAGAATTAAGGAGAGTGAGGGGAGGAAAAAAAAAAAAAAAAACAAAAAACAAAAACCCTAAATAAAATCAACACGAGTTTGAAGGGGATCTACACAGTGGGATGGGGGTTGAGTGTTTTCAGTTGACGGGATACTTGGGGAGAGTTCGTCCGGTAAGGTTTTTCTTGTCAATACCAACCTTCTAGGCGAAGACGACGACAAGGTTGGCTTTGACAGTGAGGTGGAGGTGGAGGAAGATGGGCCCTGAATTGAGAGAATGGCAGACGCACTCGTCGGACCTTTGCTTATCTGCGTGATATTCGAGCCATTCGACTATTGCCATATCCACAGTCCATATTAGACTACTCGTTTCCTCCTCGGACATACAGATCGCAGCCAGGGATACACTCACTGGAATGAATTCTGTCCAGCTTTCCGAGGCAGCCAATTGCAAGGATGAATTGTCCATATATTTTGGATTCAGGGTCTCGGTTGATAACGTACGATTTCCACGATATCGGGTGGGAATGCGGATCCAATGAGACCATCAGCTAGTAAATAAGATTAGGTGATAGCTGGAGTGATGTGCGGGAATAATCATAATAATCAGCAATAATGAGATTGGTGAATTAGCCCAGATTAGCAAGCATAGTCAGTAACCTTGTACCGTCTCGTAGGTAAGTGGTGCCGCTGTCCCTTTTCCGAGAGAAAAGAAGGGAGAGAAAAGAAATTAAACTATTAAAAAATTCAAAATTCTTTTTCTCGCATGATGAAGTCTTTTTTGAGGGAACTTTGCAATCCTTACAGGCACAGCCACGCTGTGTCTGTGTGTTATTGGCTCTCATGCTGGTTGTCATGATGCCGATGGAGTCCTTCTCATTTTCCTTTATTTGCCAATCACGGACCACATACCGCGTGCCATGGACCCCCTTACATCCCTCATTCTCTGGAGAGGATGCCGAACTAAGTTGTAAGTAACTAGTAACTAGCTTACCTGCCATTAGTCATGAACCTCATTCGTTTCAGCTGACGAATCCCGGGGAATCAATTCCCGATGTGGAGATTGACGGTGGGAGGGTCTTCGCCTTTGCACACCCCTCATCTGGACAATGAAGTTGTATGCCCCCGTCTTGCGATGGAGATAGGGTCCTATCCATACATACCTGAGGAGTTATGAGGCTACAATGCCTCTCTCTCTATCTCATATCTAATCTATCTACATTCTACTCGTCCGATCCGACTATCCAGGGGTAGCTCGACAGAGCTCTTTGTGCAATCAGTTACTGCACGCTAGGAGCCTGTGTGTATGTACATACATACCTTCTGTGTGTGTGTGTACCTGGAGTCATATCTGACGGAATTGGTCTGGGAAGAAAGGAAGGGGATGGGGAGATAGTAGCTGAGTGAGAGCAATATGTATGTACATATATGCGACATGAACGCATGCCTTCAAGGAAGAAAATAAAAGAAAAACGAAAAACGAATCAGTAAAATTCTGTTTTCTGTCTTTGATGTATGACAGATCTTAGTGAAGGGTTCAGTCTAGTCACGTTAATTTCCCCTCAGCTCTCATCTCCCCTTCAACCCCAAAGAAGAATAGTAGAGAATCAATCAACTTCCATTCTCTGGAAGATCCTTAACCCCCATTCCTCCAATATTCCTCATGCTTCCCAGCTTCAATGGACCTCTGCAGTCCAGCTCCCGTTCATTGGTCCTTTCGTATGGATGCACAGACAGTACGTACTTTTGGGTCACGGTGTTCCTCCCCCCCTCTCCTGTCCTGCCAATGTGGAAATCTTTCCTTCCTTTTTCTCTCTGAAGTTTGAACACGTTATCGCGTGGGGTTTAGCGATGGGGTTAGTGTCCACCACCAGCCGTCGATCACATCGTCTATCCTTTCCCTTCTTTTCGGCCGTTGACATTGATGCTCACTCTCGTCTTCCCTTGTCATTTTTTTTTATTAATTATATATATAGGGAGTGTGTTAATTAACCTTGTTCTATTTAAAAACGGATCTTCTTCACAGTCACATCCCAGTCTATGTTTCATCTCTGAATTTACTCAGCCTCACTGCCCGACTTTTCTCATCGGCTTCCCTTTTTGACTATGTTTGATCTGGTCTCAACTATCACCATTTCTACAAGAAGACCATTCTGACGGTGGATGGTGTCTAAAAGATATTATATTAGACTCATGGCCTGTGGGTGCTTCAAATATTTATATAAATCACTCCGCCACTCGACTCGCGCGCTATCCTGACACATCCACCCCTCAACCCTCTAGCTTGTCGGTATATCCCAGACGTGGAAACGATTATCAGCAAGGTCAGTTTAGACAGCTGACTTGGCAGCTATGAGCGTATGTAACTGTCGTCTGGTCTCGTCCAGTCCTAACCCAATGGTCAACCCTCGGTGAAATCTTCTAGTAAACTAACTATACCCATTTGCTTTAGGAGCCCAACCCCAAAAGACTAGCTTGGGATAACTCCGGGGATATCCTCCAAGGCATGCTGGACCGGCAAGTCGCACCAACCTCAGCGCAGTTAGAGTACTCGTCGGATGGACTTTTAGCCTCTGAGTACGCTCTAAGCGATCCGGCGTCTTTTCTAGGCCTGCAATTCGGTCCTGACTCTGCAGTAATCCCGCACAGCCATCTATCTATGCTCAACCAATGGCCGCCACATCACCAGCAAACATCGTCACCGCCGCCTCAACCCAGCTTGGATGTTTCTCAGTACCATCACCCGCGGTTAAAGAGCAGCCAAGATGCGTGGAACCCGCTTCAAGTGACGGGCGTGCCGGTAAACACGTCGTTATGGGGGTTCCCTAACGCTAATAACCTCCAGCAGACGTCTGATGGTGGCCGCAAATATTCGACGGGGCAGTACAGCGCAACTTCCGAGAATGACAGTCACTATAACGGCTTCCACCCCTCGGACTCGGGATACTGCAGTCACAGCTGTACCACGCGTTCGGTCACCACGTCGTCTTACGCGGTTGATTCCGTCAGCAGCCCATTCTTAGCACCGCATGAACATGAAAATGAAGATCGATCGTCGATATTAGATCTCGGTCCATCCCACTGTGGCGACACAGTCGTCGATCCGCTGGAGATGGCAGAATCATCATCTTTGATGTGTCATGATATGATTACATGTGATTATCCCAACTGCCCTTGGACGGGCAAGTGTCCATCCGACAAGAGGTATGCTTCCTCTCTTCGGCATGCTTGAAAAAAAATCATCATGCAGAAGAGCCATGAAGTTAATTAGCAGCAGGAAGCATGAAGCGAGACATAGAAAACTCTTCAAATGCGACGAGCCTGGCTGTACGCGGAAGGAAGGCTTCGGTACCATCAATGATCTTGCACGGCATAAAAAGTGTGTCCACAAACAGGAGCCAGAGCGCGGTCCCAAAGTGCTGTATATGTGTTTTGGGCGCAACTGTCCACGCCGAGGTAAGGAATGGCCCCGGTTGGACAACTTCCGTCAGCATCTCTCCCGGATGCATAATGACGAGGATACCAATGAACTACTGAAGAGGTAAGTTAGCTTGTCTATGGATATGTGAAAATAAAAGCCAGTATTAACCTCGTCTAGGTCGCATGATTGGTATGAGTCTTGTGTAAAGCCACGAGCTGAGTCTTCATCCTTTGCCGATCACTTCTCGGATGAGGTTACGGTTGCTGCTTCTGATTCAGAGTATGTCAGGAGGGATTCTGGTCAGGACCTCTACAGTTTGCGGTCTCCAGATACGCCTGTCTTTAGGCCATCTAATCAGTCGGGCCTCCAACCAATTAAGAACTCCCAAACTCAACGAAGATATTCTACCTTGGATAGTACACCAAGACTCCCTGCAAGAGATACTGCGCAGCGCCTTGAACTACCGGCTCTGACGACCCTCAATCTGAGCTCAAACACGGACCTAGAGCCTTCCACCCCTTCTCGGCTGGGACACGCTCAACCTGACAGAATGGAAAATATGGTATCCGAAATGGCTACCAATATGGTCAACGTCATGGCAAGCATGATGAACAGCAGTAGCAGCGATAGCGGTAACAGTCAGCGCAGACATAGCCACCATATGGGCGACAAAGTAGAGACACTTGAGCGAAATAACGGACTGTCCGTTGAGAAGCGGGAGATGATGCAGAAGATACTATCTGCAGCTCTAGACCAGGTGTCCGGAAACCCAGAATCTAGTCAGGCTGATTCACAGACGATGCCTGACAGTAAGTCCGACAAGAAAGGTTGGATACAATGCGAATTCTGCACGAAGCGCACGCGTTTGCGCTGTGAAATGAAGTAGGTGAACATACGGCGCTTTTATCTGAAATAAGATCCTAACATTTCAACTTCAAGGAAACATAAGAAGCGCCATGAGCGACCGTATGGTTGCACATTCGAAAAATGCAGCAAGACCTTCGGTAGCAAAGCCGACTGGAAACGACACGAGAACTCCCAGCATTTCCCCTTGCAGAGTTGGCGCTGCACCCTTCCCGATGCTACGCAAGGGGATCAATCCTGCGCTCGCCTATTCTATGACCAAGGAGAATATACCCGTCATCTGAAAAAGCATCATCATGCAGAAGATAAAGAGGTACAGACTGCACTCTCCAAGAATAGCATCGGTCCGCATGGACAGTCGCAATTCTGGTGCGGCTTCTGTCGTGACATCATCCCATTAAAAGGTCAAGGCCTTGCTGCATGGAATGAGCGCTTCAATCACATAGATACTGAGCACTTCAAAAATGGCGAGCGGATCGAGGATTGGCTCCTACCTTCGGGACATCTGACCAAGGGCCGAGAGCGCGACGGAACGGAACAAATCGGAACGCACGCAGATGGCGATGGTGAGCCTCCAGCAGACGATGTGAGCGATGATGATACTGTCGGGAGTATCTGTAACTCTGAGGGCGAGAACCCACGGGATGAAACCCCGGTGGCGGCCCCAGAACAAGTACATAACCTTCCACTTCGCCAAGCGAACACTCATTTTCAAAACAATTCTCCTATGTTCAACCCTCTTCCCGACCAGACGAACTTACGAAAACGCAAATTCTCCGCCCCACAACCGTCTCTAGACTATTACATTCGGGCGGATATTCCGGCTATGGAGAAAAGATATAAGACCGACGATGCGATCCAATCCCATTATGGGAACCTCGTCTACTGCGTAAGTCATTCTGAATCAGTTGGTTTTGGAGACGAAAGATAGGCTAACCCGAGAACAGTGCCAGTGTACGCAGGGTCCGTTTTCTTGGTCTTATACCGCTCAATGCTTATATTGCCCTCATAGCTTCTGTGGCAGTTGTGGGAGTGAGCGCCAGCCTCTGCCTAATGGATATATAGAATCCTCTTAGAAGGTACTGTACATACATATTGAGCCTACCAGACTAGCTCGGAATGATATGAAAGTGACGTCAAAGCTTACATTGACATACGGGGTATATACAATACAATGTTCACGTAGGATAAGATGAAAAGCCCTTATTTTTGGGTGGTCGTCAACTCCCTAGCCTGCTTCTCCAGAGTCGCCACTTCTTCTGTGAGGGATTGTTAGGAGCAATACAGGAGGTGAAAAAAGGGGAAACAATAGGAGAATTCCAGAAACACGTACGATTCTTGGTGGATTTCGACTCATCCATTTCAAGCTTCAGCCATGTCCAGTAAATCACTTGGTATGTGAAGATGGCACCCAAGAAGACCTTGGCAAACGGACTTGCGAAGAGTTTGTACCGGGATACCTGGTTTGAGTTAGCCTTTATTTCACCATGGTTATTTGGCCTTCCAAACTTGAAGACAATATGCAAGTATCTTTGTCATGAAGACCTTGCCTTAGGCCCCATGGCTCAATTTACGACAGTATTAGCAGCAAGGGTTAGGAAGCTTACCCCTTCTTTGAATGAACTGGATTCGTGGGCGTTCGAGTTGCTCCCGGTGGTGCTAAATGGTCTGCGAGATGGGAATGCAGTGGAAAGAAAACGTGGCGGTGGGAGACGAGTTGATGGCAGCCGGCGAAACATATTGAGACGGGAAAGAGATATTACCTGGTCAAGTTTCGTATGTATTGGGATTAGAGGTAGTAGATTGATTCTTATATATATATATATATAATATATATACACACACACATAGATACACAAGTCAGACAGTCGTGGATGAAAGAAGAATTGATGACTCATCAGTCACATGACAGGCAGGTCGCTAAAGCCGCATTAGGCAAGCGGCTCTGCATTAAATCATGATGGACAGGCGGGGAGGAGCCTAAGGACGATAAGCTTCGAGGACCTGGGGAAAGGTCGAGGTTCCTGACCGACTTATTTCTTCTTTCTTCCATCCTTTGGCACCTCGGGTTTGCGCCCTGGACTACGTCGAGATCCGGTCGGAGAGCGGTCAGTATTGACCGAATCTATGCATCGAAGCCTGGAGCTCTACTGTGAATAGGTTTACGGATGGTTTCCAGTGGGCTCTACGTGGGTGGGAAGAGGGAGTGATGGTGCGGCAAAGGGAGGATGATTGAAGGGTTGACCTGTTGTGATTTCGCACGACGGACGGAAAATCGACGGTACGGAAGAGTGCTGTTGCCGTCGTGGAGCAAAATGGGCAAAATGACGCGGATGAAGGCACGTGCGCGGGTGCGCTAACCCCAAAGGAGGTCTAGCTGCGGCGCGGGTCTGTGGCTCGTGCCCCGGGAATGGCAGGACTAGCCGGACGGCCAGCTGTGGCTGGAGCAGGCCAGGCAAAAGGCGTGCGCGAGTCTTTCCGCCCTTCGATCTTCTTGTCCCACGCCCGTTTATTCGATGTTTGTTACTCGTGTGGCAGCGTGGATTTTGGCCCATTTGACCGTTTCGTTTTTCGCTCGTTTCTGATTCTTGTGCGCCATCTCCTGTTTTTCAGTCTCTGGATGCGATCGGCCCTTTCCTTCCCGCACCGGCTCTTGTCGTGAGATTCACTCCGATTTCTCTCTCCCGGGGCCCTGCGCTTTGCGCTTCGCCGTAGTCCCGTGGTATATATAACCATCTCTTGTCCACGGGCGGCACATCATCCCCCCAACTTTGATGTATCGTGTCTGCAGGGGAGCATAGGTCTTTGTCTGGTTGCATGAGAAACAACACCATTGTCTTGTGCTGAATGGCAGTGTCTGCTTGGGTCTGTTTACTTTTCGTTTAAAGTGACAATACGATCTACGTTTCCATTCACTCAGTTCCTGGTGAGTTCCATCGATATCCCTACATACCCATCAGCCTCCCCGGGCGCGAATTTCTCGTGTCTTTAATGATCTATCACATGGCAATTTGTCTCAAATCATTCCGTCTTTGCTCACATGGCGATCGTCAAAAGAGATCCAACCCCCAAGCCTTTCTGGCGCGATACCATGGCTCGTTTGAAGCGCTCAATCGAAGAAATCGCCAACAAGTCCGATTCGGACGATGACGACTACAGCGACCACCCCCGCTCATCTCACCGCTCCGTCTCGCGTTCCAAGTCGAGGAAGAAGGCCAAGCCATCGAAGAAGAGGGCTCGTCGCCGTTCCGGCGATGACATTGTCTCTGACGATGATGATTTCTTCAGTGAAGATGAGGAATTGTCTTATGAAGAGTCGGAGGAAGAAATTGATGCCAACGCTCAGAGGAATGCGAGAGGCCTAGTAGCGCGAAGGGCAGCCACGAACCGACCACTTTATAACGAACCCAATTCAAGCAGCATCGAGGACGATGGCAATGAAACAGAAGCAACTTCACCAAAGAAACGCAAAACTGCCGTAGTCACGCTGAAATTGGGTGATGCTTTGAAGCGACAGCCGCAACAGGACCAAGGGAACCGACGAGTCACCCGACGTACACGAGGAGCGTCGGAAGACATTTACGCGCTCACCAACTCGGGTCGCCATGTGGAAACAGTCGAACGAGGTACACATAGCCCAGAGGCCGAAGTAATACGACCAAATCGCCGCGGATCTCACTCATCGAAGCAGGTCCCCACAGTTATGGAGGATGAAGAGACTCAGGAGAAGCAGGAAGAGTATATTGAAGAGACCACCACGGAAATAAAAGGCTCTCAGATCGAGATTATGGAAAGTGCGCAGGCCAGCTTCGAAGAAGGGCCCATATCCGCCGGGGATGGCCAGCAGGGAGCGGCAGAAGCTGACGAGGGATTTGTGCCCGAGTCTGAGAACGAGGATGCTGAGCACGAAGATGACGACGACGAAGACGAAGGTCCAGTAACCCGGAGAAGAGCTCGTCCAAATAGAGGCCAGCAAATCGAGGAGCCCGAGCAGCCAGATGAAGAGGAAACCTCAGGGCCTCGTCGCTCCAGCCGAAAAAAGCCGAAAAGTTCTCAACGAAAGCGACCAAACGACGAAGAGAGCGACTTTGAACCCGAGGAGGAAGACTCGAACGATGATGATGAGGTATCCCAGACCGGAAAATCCAACGGCTCTCCCCGTAAAGCCAGCCAAGCACGCGATGATGAAGAGGACAGCACCGCCGGACGGCGTCCTGGTCTTCGCAAAAGGGCGTCTCGATCTCGTGGGCAATCCGAAGCGGCGGCTGATATTGCAGAGGAACTCGCCGAAGAACTTGAGGATCTGAGGGGTGGCAGACCTCGTAGGAGGTTGCAGACAGATATTGTGTATGAGAAACCTCGGCGCAGCCGCAAGGATGTGGATTATCGAATCATACGGCCGGACCTAGTTCTACCGATTGAAGAAGCCGAGAACGAAGTCAATGAGTCTCCCTCGCGCCGTGGTGGCCGCGGGGGTGGCGGCGGCAGTAGCTGGCAACGCACCTTATTCCCGACATATGGGCCTTTTGGAGGCGGTGGCCCGGCTGCAATTCTGGCTCCGCCGGGTGCACCTGCTGCGACTGGAGGCGTTGACAGTGATAGCAGCGATGATGAAGGGCTGCATCACCCGCGTGGCTCCGTTGCCGGTGTAGGGTCCGCTCTTGGGCCACATGGCGCTGGTCTTCTCCCCGGCCAGACTCAAACACACGACGCTGCACAGGGTCTGTCAGGGACACCGGCAAACCTGGGCAAAGTCAAGGATAAGCAGGCGCTTGCGGATGCAGACCCGTTAGGAGTGGATATGAGCGTCAATTTCGATAGTGTTGGAGGCTTGCAGGGACATATTGATCAGCTAAAGGAGATGGTGTCTCTTCCTCTGCTATACCCGGAGATCTTCCAGCGTTTCCACATCGTGCCGCCTAGGGGAGTTCTCTTTCACGGTCCTCCTGGAACGGGTAAAACCCTTCTGGCCAGGGCCTTGGCGAACAGTGTCAGTTCCGAGGGCCGTAAAGTTACATTCTACATGAGAAAAGGAGCTGATGCGCTAAGCAAATGGGTGGGTGAGGCTGAAAGGCAGCTGCGACTGCTATTCGAGGAAGCTCGTAAAACACAGCCGAGCATTATCTTTTTCGACGAAATTGACGGTGAGTGAACAGCCCCTCAAGCGTGCGTTCTAGTAACACTACTGACTTGTCTACTTCCAGGTCTTGCCCCTGTGAGATCAAGCAAGCAGGAACAGATCCATGCATCTATCGTCTCTACTCTGCTAGCGTTGATGGATGGTATGGATGGCCGTGGTCAGGTCATTGTTATTGGTGCCACTAATCGACCGGACTCGATTGACCCTGCTCTACGCCGTCCGGGTCGTTTTGATCGAGAGTTCTACTTCCCCCTACCGAATTCCGAAGGTCGACGCGCTATTCTCGACATCCATACCAAGGGCTGGGATCCGCCTCTTCCAGGCCATATAAAGGATGAGCTGGCTGAGATCACCAAGGGCTATGGAGGAGCCGACCTTCGTGCTCTTTGCACAGAAGCCGCCCTGAACGCGGTACAAAGAAGATATCCCCAGATTTACAAGTCTGATAAGAAGCTTCTTATCGACCCAAAGAACATTAATGTCACTCCGAAGGCTTCATGCTCGCCATCAAGAAGATGGTCCCATCCTCAGAGAGGTCCACTTCATCTGGCGCCTCGCCGCTCCCTAAGGAAGTCGAATCCTTACTTCGTCATCCTCTGGCGGACATTAGAGCTCTGCTCTCCGAAATCCTTCCACAAAGAAAGCGGCTTACTGCTCTGGAAGAAGCACAATTTGAGGAGCCCGAAGGCGCTGGAAGCTTCCAAAGCGAGCAGATGCAGCAAGAATTCGACAGGTCGCGAGTTTTCAGGCCCAGGATGCTGCTTCGCGGACTAATGGGCATGGGCCAACAGTATCTGGCGGCTGCCATTTTGCATTACTTTGAAGGACTGCATGTGCAATCGTTCGATTTACCTACTCTCCTTAGTGATTCGACTCGGTCTCCGGAAGCAGCTGTCATACAGCTCTTTGCAGAGGTCAAGAGGCATAGGCCAAGTGTAATTTACATTCCCAACATTGAAACTTGGTCCGAAACTGTCGGGCAAGCCGTTCTCTCCACCTTCTTGGGTTTGCTGCGGTCGATCCCTCCCACTGATCCTGTCTTGCTACTCGGAGTCCAGGAGCTAACTGGTGAAGAAACGGACACCGGGTTACTACGGCAAATGTTTGGGTTTTCTAAGAGAAACTTCTACGACCTGAAAGCACCAGGAAATGAAGCGCGGTACGAGTATTTCAGCAAGGTGGTTGAGTACATCAAAACCTCGCCAGCGCATTTTCCGGATCCTGAAAACCGTAAGAAGAGGGAACTCGAGACCCTGGAGGTTGCACCTCCGCCTCCACCAAAACCCGCAACGCCGCTCACCAAGGAGCAGCTAAAATCTCAGAAAAAGAAAGATCACCAAATGCTGAATCTTCTGAAGATTAGGATCCAGCCTATCATGGACCAGATCAAGAAGTACAAACGGTTCAGAACCGGCGTGATCGATGAGTCTCAGATCCGGTACCTCTGGGAAGAAGAGGATCCGAACATCGTCACAAGCGATCTACCAATTGAACAGCGGACTACCTTCCGGCCATTCGAGAAGGCTTATGACAAACACGGCGTCCCGGGACTCTGGGAAACCGTGTCGGGTAAATTCTTTTACAATATGGAAATCGTTACCATCGAGAAGCGCCTCTCCAACGGATACTACAAACGGCCGAGTGACTTCCTGGCGGATATAAAGCGGCTGGCCAAAGATGCACGACAAACTGGCGATCAAGAGAGAATCTTGAGGGCCAACGAGCTTCTGTCTAACGTTGAAGTTGATATTTCCACCATCGAGCAGGCTGAACCGCAGCTCGTCGCAGAATGCGAGAATGTCTACATTCGGGAACTGGAAAGGGAGAAGGCAGCAGCTGAAAAGGCCAAGAGGGCCGAGGAAGCGGAAAAGGGAGGCTTTTTGGGTCATACAGCGAACCATAATGTACCGCATGGTAATACCGAGTCCGGTCCTTCGAGTGGCCCTGTGGTGTTAGGCGAGACGTTCCCCGACCTCCCTCCCAAGGAACAGGTCAGACCGGTGACACCGACACGGCAATCAACGGCAAGCTTCTTGACCAACGGCTACCATCAAAGTGGAGGCTCAGATCTTAATGATCTGAGCGCCCATGGACCGACAAGCAACGGTTCACATGAGTCGAGGCCAGATGGGGACGGCGATGTCTACATGACTAATTCGGAAGATCACTCGGGCACAAGAGACACGCAGGGCAGTTCATTTGGGCCATCTGCACAGCCAAAGCCACCATATTCCCACACAGCGCCTTCCCAGCAGATACGACGTGAATCAGGTCTCTCAAGCTTCTCGCAGAAGGGGCCGATGACTCCAATGGCTCCGGGATCTCAGCCACACGATTATGCCAACGAAGCTTCTACTACGCAGACAACTTCAGGACAAAAATCGTCGGATCAATCATCTCTCCGTCCAAACTATACACAAAGTCCCATAGTGGGTCAAGCAATAAGGCACGATTTCCCTGACCTTACCCAGTACCCAGACCGGGTGGGATTAGAAGAGCATCTACCAGACACACAGCAAGGTGACAGCAGCCAGCCATCACCAAGGCCCCGTGAGTCCCTCCCCGGAAACGCAGATTCGCAGCCCGAACACCTTGTAAATGGCAGTCAGTCGCAACCGAAAACACAACCACCCGTGCCTCTTTTCGATGAATCTACGAAGCCGTCATCTCATCCACCCGCTAATCTCCATTCGATACTCAACGATGAGAACCACTCACCAAAGCTAATTGTGGACCCTGAGTACGTCCAAAATCTGCACGAGCAGCTCACCCAGCGGACGAGTGGTTGCTCGGTGGAGCAGCTTGAACAGATCAACACTAGCCTAATGGATTATCTGTGGCGCACGCGTGGTGAATGGAACCGCAGCAAAGTGGCCGCTGGAATTCGGGACTCATTCAATGAGATTCTTGATGACATGCAGGCGATGCAGGAAATTGGCCCTATCAGTCAAAGGACAAAGGAACAGTTGGGTTCATCATTCGAACATCTGTGACCATGCTGCTGCCCTCGTCAGGAGAAAGGGAGCCATTAATTCACTTCTTCCCTTGCCCTCACCCGTTAATCTCTCTCCCTCATCCTCTCTCTTTCTCCATTTCCTTTCTTTCCTACCCACTATCTTCCTCTTCTCTTGGTATAGGGTTGAATTAGGGGTGTTTGTGTTTTTTGACAATGGACTTGTGTAATGAAGTCAATGCTGGCTCTAAGACTCTTTTCTTTTCTTTTTATCCTCTTGTCTCTTCTACTCTCAAACTATACCTATCTTGTTTACATTTCTTATCTTGCTTATCATCGACGGAATGGCTGTTCTGAAAGCCTGCAAGTGTTTCTTTTTGGTTGGTAGTACGGATTCTACGGGCCGGTTTGTTTTCTTTTATGCGAACGTGGACTCGTGCATGTATGCTTTAAGACATCTCATTTGCTTCAAAATTTGTAGACAAGCTTGTAGATAAAATGAATCGGACACCAAACATCAGTGACTACGGAGTAATATTGAGTCAATAAATCCCAGAGAATTGAACCGTATGGCAGTGAACATGTGACGCGGCCAAGACACCAGCCTGTCCTTTCCCGAAGGAGGGCGATCATCACCGCCTCGCCAGATTTCCTGCGGCCAGAGCACTACGAGTATCTCTCCCTCCCTCATACAACTCTGGCATTGTGCTACTTATTGTCGCGCACAATTTTTAATTGCAACACTCTTCGCAGATAGCGCTGCGAAGGCTTTACACGACAACCAGAGACGATATTATGACCCCAGCCTAAATACTCCCCGCCGACATTTAACCTCCGTTCGATCGCTCTTCCAGGACCACTATATTTGTCCTATACAACGCCATGGTAAACTGGCTCAGTCTCGCCGTGCCGTTCGCCTACCTAGGTGTCCTGATCGGCTCCCTAGCAACCTTCTCCTCATTATACCGCAAGCGCAAAGCCCGTATGTTCAGCGCCGCTTTGAAAAAGCCACGTTCATCAGTATACTAACCAACCAACAACGTTTAGAAAAGGCGTACTCTCTAGAACCATGGTTCCCTGCTCACCTGCAACGAGATATCTACTTCTCCCTTCTTCACATTGACCCGCCTACCACCTCCTCCAAGGAGAAGAAGGCGCCCGCTGTACCTGAGTCGGTGCTTAAGGCTGCGCTTTTAAGACGTGCAGAGGAGGATATTAAGCGGGTCTTGGCCCTGCGCAGTCAGAAACAGGCCTTGTCTGTGCTGCTTCAGCGCGGTAGTGTGGGTGATGATTTGTGGCAACGGTTTCAGAGGGCGGAGAAGGAGATGGAGGATGAAGTTCGCGATGTTGTTTCTGAGGTTGGTTTTTTTTTTTTTTCCGCCGAGCTTCGCTTTTGGACACCTTGAGAATGTGGTTACTAAATGGTTCGAATATAGGCCAACGCATATGTACCCGGTTGGGGCCAAACGATTTTCCAGTCTGCCAATGAGATGATGAACAACACCCTCTACCGCGAGCGCATCGCTGAACAGCAGGCTAAGTTGGACGAGGAACGTCAATGGTGGGAAAAGAAGAGAGCCAGCATCAAGGAAGGATTCATGAAGGAATTGGACGCCGAGGACTCTACTTCGACCGCACCTTCACAGAAAACCGAAGCTCCGACTGACACGACTCCTACCACGACCAGCAACTCCACCCCTGCAACAAAGACCCCCGATTCATCTGGTGCGCCGTCCTCGGTAACTGGAAGCGACGACGATGCTGTTTTGGTCGAGGCTGACGAGCAGCCGGGGAGTCCAACGTCCCCAAGCAAGAAGAAGAAGAAGGGCAAGAAATAACGGTTTCACGCTCGTGTTTTTTTCGCTTCTGTTTCGTCCATGCATTAAAAGATACTCTTACACTTGTTCCATCATAGGCATCTGTACTTGGTGTGCTGAATATAACTTGATATTCGAAGAGAGACAGGAGTGGTATTTCTTGGCTTGGTACCTTTGTTACGATACCTCTCTCTTCTGGGTGAGAAAGTAATTTTCGGGTCGGTATACCCTGGGCGAAACAGCCCGTTACCGTAACGTAGATGTTAATCCTCCGCCCTGCCACGAAAACAGCTGGCCAAGTTGTCTGCTGTACTATACGTTCAACCTCAATCAACACTTGAGAACCCTTTCTTCTCAAACTTTAGCACAGGTTCATAGTGTCAACCTTGGTTCCTAATTAAATAGGTTCTGGGCCGGCTGGCTCAATGGTAGAGCGTCAGTCTCCTAGCAGGCGATTGGTCAATGATCAAACTGAAGGTTCTGGGTTCGAGTCCCAGGTCGGTCGTATTTTTTTGCATCTCTTTCTCCGCGGCGTTCGTGAGATGGAGATGACGAATTGACTTTTCTGTCTTATTTTTTGTAGTGATTTGCGACCACATTGGTTTATCAAACTCGTTATGTATATATTGAAAGACAAGATATCATTATCAGAACCCCCGAGCGTCAGTCCAACATTGCCTGGAGGGCGTGGATCTAGACAGAAGGCGCCCGGTGCTTGTGTAGGCAGTTAACTATAACATGGGGTTGGGCTAGGCTAAAGCCGGGTTGGCGATATAGAAAACATGAGCTCAAGTACTAACTACATTTCCCGCTTCTCCTGGGGTGCGTTGCCTCGTGCTTCTTTATTCAGTGGGATTTCAGCGTGGATAGGCCAGCTTACCACTGGGAGAACAATGCTTTCAACGTACTCGGGTCTATAACAAGAATGTTTGAGGGGGTCAGACATATTGATATCTCTATGCCAGACCTCCGCCAGCACTCGACTATCCAGTATGCAGTCTGGTGGACGAGCAAGGTATCTTGTCTATGTTACACTGGGTTCACCGGGCAATTCGCCAGCGGCCATGTCGCTCGGCATAAGAGCACTAATCAAGATGCCGATTTAACATATGTCTTGGTGACTACGATATATCTGCGAGGTGTTACTTGGTTCGGGTTAAAATTCAGGTTGGTAGCCCAGTTATCTAATCTTACAGGTGATGGTATTGCTGACGTACCGACAGAGCCTCTCAGTAAATCAGGCCGCATGCTTTCTCGATCAACCGATTGACTTAGGGTATCTTTAGGGCATTAGAGCCAGGCTTTGCTGGGAGTCATGGCCAGTACGTGGCGGTGTTGTCCCTGGTATGGCTGGTTAACGTAGAGTATCTCCGTATTTGTGGCATTTTGACTAAAGAGGTTGGATAGCTTCAAGGCAAAAGGCTTTGAAGGACAGGTTATGTCCGGCCTTCAGCCAGCCCAGGAACTACAGTTTTGGTCTCTGGATGGGGTTTTGTTATCAGCCCGGCTCATCTGGACCTTATGCCCTGGATGTAGTACTCTAGTTTCGGTTTCTCTACGTTCCCAGAGGCAAATCCTGGGATAGGTGGTCCTTTGCTCCCATTGCATTTAACCTTGACGCTTGGCTGTCGCTCTTGCCGTTTGGTTGGTTACTTGGCATGTAACGGGTGTGGGTCAATTGGGGATAGTATAGAGTATATGGGGATGTACTAGAAAGATATACCATCCTTGCCCCTGTCACAGCCTGGAGTACATTGAATCAAGTATATATATATATATATTTTTTCAACTTGGCAACATTACGCGGGTATTGCGTATTGGGCGCACTAAATGAATGATAAATTTGACAAGATAACTACGGCATAAAATATATAGCAACTCAAATGTGGACCATACAATCTGGTATAGAAGACAAGAGGTACTATACAAGTAGAAGAAAAGTATATCCTGGAGCTGGTTCGGCGCGCTAGCGCTTTTAGATTTTTAGGGTTATGTAGCGTAATATGGAAGCCGAATAATATATCCAGTCTCCATAGTCTAGTGGTTAGGACGGCGGTCTCATAGCAATATGACAATTCCTATCTAAAGGATTTGCAATCCGCAAGCACGAGTTCGATTCTCGTTGGAGGCATTACTTTTTTTTGCTGTTTTCCTTTTGCCTGTCCTGGGCCCACTCCTCGCACGGCGTGGGTCGATATGTACCGAAGCTGAATTCACGACTCACAAACAAGGGGTGTTGCTCTCCTGTCAGTATCACCCATATAACTTTCTATTGGCTTGGTTCACTGATACTCGGGAACATGCAGGGAACAATCGGAATATCAGTCAGTCTACTTGAATGTTTTGATGGTCGAACGCATATCTTTACCATGGCTGCGGACTATGTGATGCTGGTCGACAAGAGTGGTCCGTAGTACTATTTATGGCCCTTCTCACTTGAGATCTACTATAGGGTTCAGGAAGACAAATTCAGATATCGGGAAGTAAGAATATCATACGCAGTGATCAGGCGGATTGTAAGCTATACGATGTATCAGATATATATGTACCTATACCAGGAGGCGCTGCTGGGTGAGTATATGAGAAGGATGTAGCAGACAAAAAGCGGAGCTAGTTGGTAGCTGGACCTGGGCTGGGCTTAGGCTATTTACTCCATAGTACGGGAGATATCTAGAGGAAAAACAAGGTAGGAAGGAGATCAAAAAAGAATGCCTCCAACGAGAATCGAACTCGTGCTTGCGGATTGCAACTCCTTTAGATAGGAATTGTCATATTGCTATGAGACCGCCGTCCTAACCACTAGACTATGGAGACTTGGTTGAAGTTCAGCGCCAAAGTATGGCCTTATGTTCAACCACAATACACCTTGCTTTCCAAGAACCACACTCAATTCGCACTTCATGCAGGCCAACAAACCAGGTCTCGGTATTGATACATGGATCCAGCTATAATAACATAGCATATACATACGCGGTTGGAAATCCCTTCTCTTGGGCAAATCACGAACAGGATCAGCTGTCTCGCAAGTAACCTAGCCATTGGTACCCCCCAACTGTACCCAGTAGGACAACGATACTAGTGTACATGCATTTTCTGGCACTGATATTGTTGACTAAAGTGGCAACTAATACCGATGTCAAGATATCTACACTGGAGAAGTAGTACGTATCACTGTGGATGTGCCGATTTGAACCATATCTGGAGAACCCTTAATCATCCCGCGCTAATATGTAGATGAGCCGAAGTTTTGGCTTCTGAGGTTTACATCACGACAATAGAGAGAGGAGTAAGAGGTACAACCAGCTAGGTATGTCGAGTCGCCCCGGACTGGCTTATCAGCATTAGACAACTGTTATGACGTCGCCGACGAAACGCTTGAGCTTCAAATACCAGGAGCACAGACTGTGCATAAATTCAAGATCTCAAGCTTTGTTCTTTGTGCGGCTAGGGCGTCAGGACAGAGGTAGTCCGGAAAGCAATTTGTCACGCTTTCTCGGTCCTTGAATGTATCCCACTCTCTTGAGTAGATAGATGCCATTTTTTCCGTACGTGGGGAGCCCTAAGATGAAACATTTTGACCCGAAGCTTGTCTAGAATTGGCTTTTCTGGGCACCGGAGGAAATCTTAAGCCGGTGACGATCAGAGCAATCTGCCGAAAATTAACTCCAACCGAGTAGTAGTTGTTGATCATAATTTCCCTGTGCCTAGTGAATCTGGTAATGAAGCTCCATACGAACAAAGGCTTAGAATGGTGTGATATATATTCCTCGACGAGGTCATTGAACAGCAGTCGACTCCCTATTTTGGAAGTAGACATGCTCAAGTAAATCTATGCAGGCCATTTGGTATTTGATCAACACTAACGATATCGTTTGAAAGGTGATTGTAAGAGATAGAGCCAGGGCACCCTATTCCACAAGGCCAAAAGGTCATATAATTCGGGATCAACGATCCCGAATACCCCGGGGGCATCTATATAGTATACCGCCGTTACAGTGATATTATTTCTTATTACGCGTGTAATTACCCTCAACGGACTGGGGATTCAGGTATAAAGTTATCTCAGGTCAGATGTGCAAGCATATCATTGAATCTTACTTTTCTTCTTCTTCTTTTTTTTTTTTTTTTTTTTTAGATAAATGGGATGACTGACGTACCTTCGATATACTTGCCAGCCGAGGATATGCGGGGCCAGTTATGAATCTGATCGACGATCTGATAACCGTCATGCGTTTATACTTTATCAAAAGTAGGTTTTACATAATAGTACTATTAGCGGTGTTCATTCGGCCGCCTATACCTTGTAGTGTGCTGGGATATAGGGGATAGCTCCACGACAGATGAAAGCGGAGACTGTCATTGAATAACGTAAGTATTGTGAACGGAGAGTGACATGCGTGGGAATATTGATATGTTATCCTATACAAAAACGAAGCCCACTTTTACTTCACTCATTTTGCACCAAAAATTGGATTCGAAATAGAACTGAAGCGCTAAATGTGCCGCGGTTCTGGGCCCCACGTATTATAATCTCCCCCGTCTTATGGTGAGGTTTCTCATATTCACAAAAAGTAGGACCAAAAGGCCACTCATATTTGAGTTCAAAGAGGGGACGATGGGAGGGAGTACGTGGAAAGTAGCATATACACACAAGCCAATTGAAGACTTTCCAACGGTGTATGTACCTTCAAGGGGAGTTCGCTGAGTGCCAGTCAACACTGCTGTTGGTCTCTTGTCCAAAATGCATCTATATATCATTATACTAGTTACATTCTTAGACCTTGTTTATTCTTGGGGAGGCCTCTCCGCTTCGACTTTGGATGAGTATTGTTTCTACTCTATTTATGAATCGCTATCAACCCTAACATGGCCTGTCCCTTACTCACAAAACGCCGTATGCAACAACTCTGTGCAGGTAAAGTCTATCTATACATCCGCAAAGCTATACTGTTCGGACGAGGAGCTGTCTGCTGGGGTAAATTTGTGGACAAATTACTGCCAGAGACTCTACAGTCCACTGGACCTTGATGGGATATCGGGCAATATAACGAATGCATACTTGTCGGAACTTCCGCATCTTGACCCTAGTCAATATCAAGGAACGATATTGACATCAACTGTATTACTGTCACACTCATACTATCTCGTTGCCTTCCACAGTTACGTGAGACACAACATTCTCGATTCATCGATTGGCCAACACTACTGACTTCATATCACAGCTAGCGAAAGACCAAGCATTGCCGAAATCAACGCAGCTGAGCTGGAGTGTAATGGGCTATTGGGGTGGAATTTTGCTCATGGGTATACTACATCGTTTATGGACTTCATTACGGCATATTCACGGAGGAAGTGGCAGACAAGATGTGGAGCGAAAGCGAGCGCAACAGTTACCAGAAAAAGCTGGAATACAGGATCATCTTAGCTTCTATTGGAGGGCTTACTTCGCCGTCCCTGCAGCTCTTGGATCGTATCATCAACGCCGATTCCTGGGATGTAGCATTCCGAATCGCCCAGAGGTCCTAGTGGTGGTGGGATTTTGGATAATGTGTATTATCCTCAACTTTGGGTTTCACGACATCTTCATTCCAAATGCCACGTACGGATAGTCGTACTCCTAAATCACGTGGAATTGCATCGACTAACATGCTCATAGGATGCCAACAATATCGCAGCAGGCATGGAAGTATGTTGCTCAACGGACTAGCATGTTCGCATATGCCTGTTTTCCATGGGTGTGGCTATTCGCTGGAAGGAACAATATCTTTATTTGGGCCACTGGTTGGAGCTTCAGTTCTTTCAATGTCTTCCACCGACACCTGAGTCGTCTCACTGCCCTCTTCGCCTTTGTACATGCGATATCATATACTGTCTTGGATACGATCTATGGTAAGGACTTTGAAACCTGTCCGAAGTAGTCACGCAACTAACGAAACTCATACAGGGCCTTATTACGAGGAGGGACTGCATGTTATTTGGTTCAAGTTTGGTATTATTGTGAGTCTGAGCTAAGCAGTCTCAAAGTTCCTTCTACTAATATATTAGGGTGCCGTTACGATGGGGCTACTCTGCGGTCTCTCCATCCCCTACTTTCGTACTAAATGCTATGAGTTGTTTTTGGTTGGACACATCTTATTTGCAGTGATCCTTCTTGTTGCGGTTTTTCAGTGCGTCCTTCATATACTCCCTCCCAGTCCACGCCTTTAGCAGATGTCAGGCTGGCTCACGATATGCAACAGACATACTTCTGTTTTCGGAACTAAATATAACGCCTATCTCTGGCCAGTGGTTGCCATATGGTGCTTTGACCGGTTCTTGCGCATCATACGCCTCGCATATTGCAACATCCGCGCCTCTACCCGTGGACGTGTACAAACAACCACAGCGACGGCAACGTATAGCAAAGATGCTGATGTGATCCGACTAGATATCCAAGCAGGGGGTTCAATTAGGCCTTTACCAGGTCATTACTTCCACCTATATCAATTATTCAGCTGGCGTGGTTGGGAAAACCATCCTTTTACAGTCGGCGCCTGCACTGCACTAAGCACACCGTCACCATTGACATCCTCATCTAATGCACAACAAGCGCCCCACTCTATGACTGGAGCCCTTAATGAAAAGAAGCCGTTCACTTCAACTACCACAGAGATATTTACACAGGAAATCCAGTCTTCTACCACTGCTCCTGCTCTTGGAAACCTTGTTTTCTGGATTCGTCCTTATAACGGTTGGACAAAGCGGCTGAAAGATCAGTGTTTACGCTCATCATGCCCTGATGATAATACTGAAAACGGATATTATCAAGCCTCTATCCCCATATCTTTGGAAGGCCCTTACGGTCATACACTTCCGTTACATCACTACGGCACCGTGCTCATAATTGTTGGGGGCACCGGCATTGCAACAGCAGTACCTTACATTCATGACTACGTTTCCAGATTGTCAAAGACAGGCTCTAGAAGGTCTGGCAATGGCAGCACCCACACTTCCAACCTTACTCTGGTCTGGGCATGCCGCGGCCATGAATTCATGGAGCAGCTTTGTGGTAGGGAACTTGCCAGTGCACTAGAGCTAGAGGGATTTACTGGGCGTTTCCACTGTACGAAAGGCTGTGGTAGCCACTGTGCTGCTGACGACAAAGATGGAGAACTGCGTATTGAGCGTGGACGCCCGAATATCGAGAATGCTATCTATGGTGTCGCTACAAAAGCGCAGATTGAGAGGCACAGAATGGCGGTGCTTACATGCGGGTCTGCCCACATGTCGGATGAGGCTAGACGCAGTGTGCATAGTATACTGAACAAGGGGTATGGAGGAATTGAGTATTTTGAGGAAGCATACTCATGGTGAGGCATGTCTGCCTTAGCTGAATATTTGTGACTGCTGTATGGACTGAGTCAATCAACACAGAGATACGCCGGGTGTGTCGGTCCATTCATCTGAAGTCGAAGGTAGTGGATTAAATAAACAAGGCTTTCTTGGCCCTCACTTTTGTTGCCCAGTTGTATCTGTGCTATGGTAGAGCATTGTTCCAACTATTTTTAGTGGTTGCAGAGTCGGACCAGTTGTGGTATGGAAACCACTCAATTAGATCTCAAGAAATCAAGGTCACCATAATGCTGAATCCCTTCATATGGTCGGAAGACAGTTTGGCCAGTGGTTCTTGATGCTGTGGATAGTAAGTTGACACTGTTACTGGTTGGTATGTACCCTTGCTTCGTGTCAGAACACCAACGAAGAAGTGGACCTGAAAATTTAAAAGTTTAAAGAGGATCTATCTAAGGCATAGAGCCTTCGCAGCCAACGGCTCAGCTATGTTATTGTAGACTAAGACTGTATAGCATCAGCGTCATGCCGCAGGTTCATGTTTATATTGACACCCTCGACTACCAAGGGCAGTGTCATTGGCCAATGTTGAAGTATGAAAGCCACATTCTTTTCCTATATACTGACCACCAGCCTCTTTTTTTCCTCGACAGCACTGTCTGTTCCCTCCATCCTTACCAGAAGGAAATTGTTGCATACAGCGTCAATGCCAAGGATATGCGTTTGAGGCCCTGTACCACAGTAAGGAAAGGTTGGGTTAAAATCACTGTAGGTAATTATCTAGACAGAAGAGGAATCATCTACCACTTAGTGAGTGAGGCTGTACTGCTTCAGTCTGATAGGGATTTGGAATGGCCGGCCTTCACTCGTACGGCGAGAAAGTTGTACCGCTACTGCCCGGTTTGTTAATGATGCGGATGATCACTGGAGATTTCGCGCCATTTTCCATATCTGATCTGATTAACATGGTAGTTTCTAGGCTACTAATAGGAATGGAATGGAATGATCATTCAATGTTCGTTCTTGCGAGGGGCACCATACGCAACGGAATGTTGGGAACGAAACACACGATCTTGGGTACTTAAACTCATCTGAAGGGCTTGGATGCTGCCGTCTCGGGCGGTGCCCACGATGTTGGGCCCGGGATATTCCTCTATCGCAACCAGGGATCGGGGTATGAGGACTGGGAGTACCTTGGAGAATGGTGTAGTGAGCCTGCTAACTCGACCTGGGGCAACGGTGACTGGGCCAAGGTATGGGGGTACAATTTCGAAGTTGGGAATGTGTTCAGTCTCGACAAAGAAGGCTACGATGTCAATGGCGAGACTTTCATCACCCTCCGCGTTGAGGGTTCGTATGTCCCGATCACCGAATCTGTTACCTCAATGCAAGGAATGCTCTGGGCGCCCGGAGCTATCTCGATACCAGACGGCGGAAACGTGACTTTTGAACCGACTATGGCAGGTGTGCTTGACTGGGGATCATCCTCATATGCTGCAGCAGGAAATGTCTTACCAGCGACGTCTCAAGCCTCCGAGAAGAGCGGTGCGCCTGATCACTTTATCTCGTACGTGTGGCTGACTGGGGACGTTTTCGGAGGCGTCGCCGGATCCCCAAGTGACCAGCAAGGCTGGCAGAACCCGCTACTGCTTCCCCGTGAATTGAATAAACATACTATTTCCAATGTGGTGGATAATGACCTTGCCTGGGAGACTGGCTCGTGGCGTGTGGATGATAGCGAGAAGAGCTGCCTTAAGCTTGAAACAATGGGGATCAAGATTGCGAGGGAGACATACAAGGCAATGACAAACACGACGGCCCTTCAGCGAGCCGAAGCGCACGTTGAGCGATGCCTCGTCCCTTCGAGCAGTCGCCCACCACCAAGTTCTTTGTTCTGAAGGCTTAACTCTCATTCCCAAAGTCTGCCCGTGACTCTGGTGTTCAAGCAGGTTTCAAGATTCTTCCCTCGGAGCTTGAATCGACGACTATCTACTACCGATTCTCGAATGAATCGATTGTCATTGACCGCAGTAACACAAGCGCAGCTGCCCAGCCAACCACTGGAATTGACACTGCCACCGAGTCCGGGCGTTTGCGGTTGTTTGACATCAGTAAGCATTGCAAGGACGACAGTAAAGATGAGGGTGATGATAGAGAGCATGGCAGAAACTGCCACATTGCCAAGCGTAACGCGTTCGCTGCAGAGGATGAGTCCCACATCGAGACTCTGGATCTCACTGTTGTGGTTGACAACGCTGTTCTCGAAGTTTATGCTAACTCACGGTTTGCCCTTTCTACCTGGGCTCGGTAAGTCCTGCCTGAATGGGTTTCAATTACAAGAAACTTGCTAACCTCATGTGCAGTACCTGGTATGCCAACTCAACCGAGATTAGCTTCTTCCATAATGGCGAGGGAGAAGTCACTTTCAGCGACATCAGTGTGTCCGATGGCTTGTATGATGCCTACCCAGACAGGGCGAGGTAATTAACGTAATTATAGTGTATAGGATGATTGTATATTGAATGTGTATATTATAGAGCTTGAAAAGAAGCTATAGCTGTAGCTAGAATGGTGAAAGTGGGAGACCAGCTTGGGTAGAACAGTTGGCGGGCCGCATTTGGTCGTATGAAGTTAACGATATTTAATTTAGAGTAACATTTCTTACATAGAGGCAGCCAGTGCGATTGGATGGTAAACTGGAGCAGCGTGTATATTTGGATTATGTGTGTGTGGGTGTTGTGCTGAGCCACCTGTTATGGAAGCGAGTTAGAATATGGACTTATACAGTGAGTGCATTGTCTTGAAGTTAATTTGAAATTACAAAACGTACGGTGTCTTACTGAATCTACCAAAACATTCGACCTGTGTTGCTTCAAGTGTCTCAAAGCTCGTATAGTAGTGTCGAGGTCTGAAGTAGTCGATAAGTCCTGCCTCTCAATGTGTAGAAGACCGCTCGTATCTACCTGCTGGATATAAGTTTTGCTGTGTACACTATAGACCAATTGGGTACATAACGTGCATCGAGCCTGTGATTAATCCGGAGGTTTAGATCTTCCCTTTGGTGGGCAATCTTCCGTCAGACACTCTCAGTATTCTTTACCTTGCCCACGGCAGTCATCGCCATATGCACAATACCAATGACCACCACCGGTATTGTTCACGTTTGGCGCCTTCATGACGAGCCTAATCAACCTGGTCAGTGAAAGAACGATTAATGTAACGTGAATCAGTCACTCACGGTCCCGTGGGCTGGTTAGAACACACCGAGCTATACAGGTGCCTGTTGACGACTTGTACTGTGTACGCAGTGTGCCACAGTCAGTTAGAATGGACAACTTGCAAAGGATGAAATAGAGTACTACTCACATATGCCATATCGTACCAGAGGCAGACCGTTGCATTTATATCTGCACTACAGGTCTTGGTCTCGCCCACGGTCCATGATTCTGTCACTGAGAAACCAGGCGAAAACCACCCAACGTTCGCTCCAGCCGAGACAGCGTACCCAAATGTATAACTCGTAGTGAATCCTACCCCCCCAGCCCTTCGCACCTGGGCCATCTCGGCACTCCCCTGTACTGGTCATTTGCCTGTGGAGATAGTCCGTATGTGGGTTTCCACCCCCGACGAGCTCATAACTGCAGTCTCCCATACAACACATAAACTGGTGACCCAGGAGCTGCCTCTCTTCCAATGTGTTGTTTGTGCCTGTTGTGCTGTTCATGTGGATTACATGTGCCAGAGATAGGCTTAGGCAAATGAGAAAGGAGATTTTCTGGAGTATTTCACACATTTTGACTTGCAATATGTATAAGTACGGAAGGCCTGGATAACATGCATAGGGTACGGTTCAACATATAACAACTCTTGCTCGTGCCATATAGATACAGTGTTAACCACATTCTGTGCTGTTACCCCCTAAACTTAATCCAAGTAGAATGTCAGTCTGCCCCTCCATAGCTACCTTAGAGGCTCAACGAGAGTTGTGCTAGTAAAGTGTACGAGCGGGAGAGACGAGAGATAGCGCGGGTTGTCAAAAAGATTGAAATTACTGGCTTGCGGTCAGACCCATACAGATAAGCTTGCAGAGCAATATCTCCACGTGGAGTAGTCAAGGTCAACATCTTCTGTGTAGATCATAGTGAAGGCTTGCACCAGAATTGTTGTTGTGTAACCAGTTAGAAGAAAGAATTAAATCTCACAAATGCCGACGAGTGCCAGTGGCTTCATGAGAGTCAGACGATGACTGCACTGCATTGCCTTGTTGTATGTAGTCAGGTACGACTTGACTAAGACTAACTAGACAAAGACTACGCCCGGCAAAAGTCTATGATACATTCTGTTTAAGATTGGCCAATTGGATTTCATAGCACTGTTGTCTCTTTTTTTGTGCTTGGCCTTAGCCTTGCTATGCTATGCAACTCAATGGAGGCCGTACAGCGTCGGATCCACCAATGCTGGATTGTCGACTACCTCCCGAATGGAGAGAAACAAAACAGAGGCCCCTTTGTTCGATGCGTTTATCTCGGATTGGATGAGTAACCGCCTTGGATTTAGACAAAGACTGCCTGCCTTCCTCCTGTTTTGTTTCATTTCGGTGGAGGAACCGAAGGCTGGAGCTGCAGGTGAATTGTTCAACCCGCAGGCATATGAGGTAGGAAACACCATGATCCAGCATAGTTTGCGCAGAAAAGATACTTAAGCCACCCCCTGTTCGTGAGATCTGTATACTCTCGGTATTTTATCTTTCACCTGATCTTCTCATCATCGTCTATAAGAGATCCAGAAAATCAGATCTTTCCCGGTTGAAGATCAACAACACCATGTCTGCCACAGAAACAACGACGGCAACAACAGAGCTGCCTGTGCAAACTCTGGAAAGCTTACAGGGACCCGAACTGGACTCGAAAGATATATGTTCCTTTTACATTCGCGACCAACCGAACGAACCAGAAGACTTGGACGCACTCCGAACCTGCTGCACGCCAAATATCATCCATAGATACAACGAGCACCAATACTGGTGTGAAGTTCCCCAGCGTTACTTCCCTCCTACGCCCTACTTTAATGTGTCTAATAGGACGATTGAAAGATGGGTGGATGGCAATATGACCCAGTGTATGAGAGGCACTCATCCGAGTCATCATGTTGGGTCAAGCACATGTCACTTTTCCAGATACAATGTCCGCAACGATGCCGCTTCCTTGGTTGTAGCGTCTGTGTCGTTGTATCTTGGGCTACTGAGTGGCCTGTGGTCTGTGGTCTGTGGTCTGTTAGGTTTCTGTTGCGGTAGGTGGTTCCTGGTGTGGAGAGGATTAATAGGCTCATACCTTGCGTGGATAGGCCTGGTTATAGTTATAGCACAAGTGGTTTGGAAGATAATCTAATCGGAGGGGCAAAATTTTTATTAGCCACTGGGTTTCAGAAAACATAGAACGGTCCCAGCGTTCCAAGATAGCTCAAGAGAGGAAAAATCTATTATAGTACACAAGAGCCATGATTATATACATAGCACCACTACCTGAACGCCGATCCGTATATTGCATACCACTCTGCTTTCCCAAAGCATGCCGCTAAACACCATGATGTACTTTTCCTGATTATTAAAATGATGATTGGTGTAGACCTACAGTAAAAGGTCATTGCCCTCCAACGACGATTTAAGGTCGATCCCCACAACATTCATCTCTTCTGCGATGGACGCAATTTGATCTTCAACTCTGTTCAATTCAGTGGCAGCCCGACCCATGATAATACGTAAAAGGTCAGTCATTATATCAAGCTGATACTGCTCCCGCTCCTGCGGCTCGAGAGTCTCGAGAGTAAGCCCCCGCGCCTGGAGAGCAGACACCTTGCGCTCGCTCAAGATCTCCACCAGCCTGTTGACATGGGAGATGTTCTCCTTGCTTCTAGGGGTCGTCGAGAGGCGACGCAGACGGCGCTTGGGTGTGTCAGGCGGGACACCGGCCATCCGTGCAACTTGTAGGACTATGAGACGAGCGGTCACGTCGTCGGGAGAGAACCCGAATGTTGATCTCAACGAGCAAAGGGCAATTAGTGTGCCAGGGAGGTCTTTAGAAAGACAAAAACAACGAATGACTTGGTTATAGAGTTCTTTTGAGAACTCTTCTTGCACGGCGGCTCGGCCCCGTGTAGGAAGGCGAGAATACCACTGCATCATCTCCGCATAAAGGCCGCGAGCAGACGGAAAGTCTGCAACAAATGTCGTGCGACCGCGGTCATACTGAAGTTTACCGCAGTCCCATAGGCAAGCAAAGGTTTCCAGATCCGGTTGGATCGATGTAGACATGGTTTGGAACTTGTCCCATAAAGATCCGATATCCTGTTTCCGGAGCTCGGCATATAGGATATGGTTCATGAAATAGGAGTTTGGCTTAATCTGAGCATCGCCGAGGCATTTGACTAGATATTTGATCATGCCATCGTCGCTTCTTCGGGTATAATGGAGGAGTAGAATGGAAAATGTCTCGATGTTTGCGGATGGAATCTCTCGTTGCATCCACTTGGGTATGCGAGGACTATCTGGATCGGGGCTTGCGGTCAATTTAGGAGAGCTCCCAGTCGAATTGGTCCGCGCCCAAACACTGTCAATCCGCTGTTGAACCATAGACCACCCCAGTCGTTCGGCTTTCTCTCGCGCGTCGGGCTTGCCGTCACGAAGCCAAGCGGCAATCAACCCATTGAGATGTTTTGAATCCGGCTTCACTCCTCGCTCATACATCAACTCAATCACCAGCGCAGCAGAGTCAACTTCACCCATTCCAATGAGCTTCTTCATCCAGCTGGCATAGAAGAATCGGTTCTGGAACCTCCGAGGTAGGACCGTTAGCGTTGAAAGCGACACCTTGTTCACATCCTGCTCCGAAATACTAGATGCCTGGAGATGACCAACAAGGCCGACGGCTGCTGTGTAGAGGGAGGTCGAATCGTTTGCTGGGTCCTTCCCTGTCACCATCATATCTTTGAAAACTGCGATAGCCAGATTCGGTCTACCGGCTTTTAAAAGACCAATGCTGATATTATCATAATCGTCCATAGTTAAGGTGTTCTCAAGAAGAGTCTTCAGTTGTAGGTATAAAGCCCACGCCTTGACCTCAGCTTCTTTGCCAGGCTGCCGCCCCCAAGCAGTAATAACCGGAAGGAGGATGCGAGGTTCGCGTGACTTGTCATTTGCTAAAAACGCGAGAGCGATGTCCTGTGCTCGTTGAGGGTCATTTTCAGCAGCAAAGAGCCGTACACCCAATTTCCAATATGCTTCAAGGTCTTGCTTGTTTTGCGAGAGCCCCGTTTGATGTGCTTCCCACTGATCTAGCGCTTCCTTTGTTTTGCCAGTCTCTCGGAGCGACTCGATGTAAGAGAGGAGATGTGGTGTCGAGAGCGATTTTCCAACTGATATTGCATCCTCAGCGAGTATTTGGATATGACTTGCGCGGGAAGATCTTGTGTGGTCACCAGCTTGAGCATGCCATAACAACGTCAGAGCTTCTTCGGGTATTGACTCTAGGAATTCCGGAATCATCTGTTTGCAACGACGGTACCATTTCCATAGTTCCGGCCCGAGTGGTTCGTTTGATCCATCGCTTGTGACCCGGGCTAGGCATTGGTTGAATTTCTCAACATAGGAATGGTGTTCCGGAGTTGTTACTGCAACCTCAAAGGGGCGCCGTACAGGTTGTTTTGGCGAGTTGTCTTTCCCTGTCAAATTCCAGTTTTCCTCCTCTTTGGCCAGGCCCTCAAATTCTTCTTTCAACATCTCATCCAGCTCAGTATCAAAAACCTGCTCAAGGCCAATATCGGGCTCATCCTTGCCATGCTCCATCTCATATTTTCTCAGAGCCTCTAGTGCAATGGCTCTCTCCTTCTCGGGTAGCTCCCTGATGAACTGACTATTGGGGCCGTAAGGACCCTCTTTCAAATCCTGCAGTTCCTTCTCAAGTCTAGCCAGTTCGCCCTCCACTTCCTCCCGATCGGCGCTGTCTTCGGCTTCTGGGTTGACCTGCCTTCTCTTTTTGCTCCCGCGAGTATCTTGTTCATAAAACCGAACCTTGTCATTGGGCCCGCCATACTGGAGGGAGCGTGGCGCTACGACGGAGAATGTTCGCCACAAAGAAAGAGACGGAGCCGACGGTGTTCTGCGCGCCACATGCTGATACCACCGAGCTCCTCGAACAGCTTGGCGCAGCATGAAGTATAGGCGGTTAGATCATCTGACAAAAGAACACTAGTGAACAAAAGTTGCTGTGACAGTAACAAAGTAGAAGTTTTGCGGAGAGTTATCGCATGGAGCTCCGCGGCGGAAAACCAATACCGCCCGGTTTGGTTTAGCGTCAACGCGAGCTCCGCCGCGGTTTTAGTAAATCGTTCTACAATGTTCATTCCTCCCCAGACGACGGAGGGTCTCGAAGCTTACCTACTATGGACTTGGATACGGACACGCAGGGTGTAGCCAAGGATGGCTCAAACACTCAGGTACTTTCCTGCGCTGATGACTTAAATCTATCCCAAATTCACTAATGATTTTCTAGGGTGTGTACATCTATCGACCTGCAACTTCCGCGAAAGCTCACGGAGAGCGACCTTCGAAGCGACGAAAGGTGCAAGCCGAGAACAAGGAACAGAAAAGTGAACCGCACCCCTTTGTTCCCTTACTGGATGGCGAGGAAAATGAGTCATCGGTCGAATTGAGGTACAATGCCTACGGGCTATTGTGGTCAACTCAGGAAACCAGGATCCAGGTTCGCAAACAATAGAAGCTTGTCGATTTGCTGGGTATGGTGTGTCTTGCTAATGGCAGGCAGGACATTCTAGATGACGTGGATTCCGAAGTTCTCGAGAACGTTTTATCCTTTGTTAGGTCGACTTCGCATCGGACGTAGGTAGTTCGTTATTTGGACACGAAGGCGCTTCAAAGTTCCTAACCAACGATAGATATGACGGATGCATTCCCACAGCATTAATAACAGTTGGATCCAATGTTTCATCGCTTGGCAGACTGTTATCCAAGCTCAATGATCAATTAACTGCGTCAGAGGAAGGCGGAGTGGTCATACTGGAATCTGGCGATGCCCCCAATCTCAAGGCAACGCTGAAGAATATTATCCGAGCTGCCGTCACAAACACTGAAGGTAATGATGGATATCAGAGTTTTTTGACGGATCGAGAGGTGGGTTTGTCCTGTCCAAACCCCTTATGGGCGAGGTGCTAAGAAGGCCGTAGGGGCCCAGACTTCTTGGGTATGATCTCGATTTACTTGGAGACTATGTGAAAAGGAAAGGGATCAAAAAGTTGGTCGTAGCATTCCGTGACAGCGAAGCTTTCGATCCGAACATTCTAACGGATCTCCTGTCCCTCCTAAGGTAAGGCCCACGATCCTTACTAGTCCATTAAGTTAATTGTTCTAGTTCCTGGCTTGACCGGATACCATTTACTCTATTGTTTGGTATCTCAACATCCGTTGAACTCTTCGAAGGAAGGCTTCCTCGGTCAAGCGTAGCCCTTCTTAGAGGTAGATACTTTGAGATTCACGGAGCAAGTAACTGTGTTGATCGCATGTATGAGCGGTTACAAGCAGACCAAAACGGACGATTCTGGTTGGGGCGCAATATTACAGGGGTTTTGTTTGAGAAGTCGAATGACTATTTCCAAACACCGGAGGCCTTCAGTCGGACAGTTAAGGTATTTACCATATTACGCGTACTAAACCGATCAATTCTAATGGGAATAGTATGCGTACATGACACACTTCTTTGCAAATCCATTGGCAATACTCCTATCAGACGAGATTTCCGTGAATAGGCAAGAGGAGAAGCTTTGCGAAGCAATTAGAAATCTTCCATCATTCCGAAGGTGATATAGAACCTCAACTTAACCTTTTCTTAACTAACACCACTAGATTTTGCGAACATCTACTTGATGATGCCTCTACAGAACAAGTGCGCAGCCTGTTAGAGAACGACGAGTTTCTGTTTCAGCAAAGCTTAAGGTACATGGAAATCGGACAGCGACGGATGAGAGATATATTTCAGGTTGTCAAGACGGTTTATCTGTGCCTTAAGAGCATGGATATAAGAAAAAATTTCACGATGCCAGATTTGTCAATTCGTGCGCTATCTGGAGAATTGCAAGATTCTACTTATATGGATGAATTTCTTAGGGGCCTGAAAACGTTGGATTCTTCTAAGCTGAAGGAATTCCTTGTGTTTATGCCTCAAAACTTGACTGGCTGCCTGGAGTTCCAAGAAATAAAGAAAGACTTCGAAGCTCTTGTGCAGACATACCAAGGCACAGAGCCGCTCCGGAGTGAGTATGACAGCCATAATTCCATCGTGGCGGCAACTGTGGTCCAGCAGCGGGTGAAGCTCAGTAAGAGCAAAGCCAAATTACCCCAGCAGAATATTGAGTATACCAAGGTAATTGATCGCTTTCATGCTCTGTCAGAAAGGTACTTTGTGGAAACATTGGTGAGACCACAAGACCTATTCTTGCATGAGGCTTTTCTTCTTGATATGAAAAATCCCTTGAAGGAGATCTTCTCCCCAAGGCCACGTTTCGCGATCGAACGTGCTTTAGCCAATCCTTTCGACTACCTGATGTCAATGTCGGATAGGACGGAGGCTAAGATTTCCGCACGACAGCCAGCCACGGCCATCTTATATCAGCTATATCTCGAGTCCGGGGCACTGGTGAACGTTTACGACCTTTGGCAGGCTTTTTATGCGGTGTTCGAGAGTGAACAAGGCGACGCTTGCGATGAACGGATGACTATGACATTGTTCTATCGGGCGGTATCGGAACTCAAGGCGCTTGGTATGCTTAAAAGCAGCCGGAGGAAGGTGGATCACGCTGCCAAATCGGCATGGATTGGACTATGAATATTATCCTAATTGTATATTTAAAAACGTTAACGAAACACGCTATGTAATATCGGGACAAAAGGGTATCATAAAGCAAAATAAACAAATGCTACAACAATCACATAGTGCAGCCATCAAGTAGATGAATTCCATTCCTCTCACGACGGAGGCAATATAAAAGGAAACCCGTCGTTAATCATTCGGAAATGGGCAGTTGAATGATATCGTCGTGACCAAGTGGTCGTCCTCCGTCACTCAACACCATAGCCTCTCTCCTTCGTCTCCTCACAGCCTGCTCCTCAGCACTCCGTTCCCGCAGGCGCCTCCCAGGGACTCGACTTGAGCCAGCAGTATCGTCACCATCTACCATCCATATATCGCTGTCATCATCATCTTGGTCGTTTTCCTCGATCATGCTACCCATTAGACCATATTTGCGCAATTGCTTCATTCCCTCAGGATGAGAAGAGAGAGTGCTAAATATTGAACTCATAAGAGTATCATCGGACCACCAAGTCTTCATGAGTATCACTACGTCTTGCCGGCGCGATGGCTCCGAAAGCGCGCAGGGAAACGGATATTTCGAGAGCCAACGACTGATCATGCCAGCCTCTAGAGCTGCGGGCACATTCTCTGGAAGAACCAGGTTTAGTGTACCAAGCGCCTTCTTCTCCCCGAGCGGTCTAGTTTTGGGTAAAATAGGCGATACTGTGGTGGAGGTCTCCTCGGTATGTTCGTTGAGGAAATTGCAGAGACAGTCAACAAGAGCGTTGTATGTGGGCGGGTCTTTCAGTCTGGCACATATGGAGGTCCGAGAAACTAAATCGTAGCAATCAGCATCAACTTGAGTTATCACTAAGCCGAATATGCAAGGTCCATACGTGAGCGATTCGATACTAGGAAATACATCGCACTGAGGGCTTTGCTTCGTCTCTCTTCGTCTGTGCTTGCAAGGTCCCTCAAAAGCAAATCTCGAGTTTCTCCTTTTGTAGATCTTTCAGCAATAATACGCAAAGCACTATGAAGAATGTCAGTGCCTATAATGTGGGCCGTGTACACAGGAGCTGCCATACGCTGCCCGCAGGTCGTAACTTGTGCTCTCGGAGAGCTTGAGTAACGTGTCCAGTTTGAGGGCTGTTAGTCAATTAGTCACTGAATAAACTACTTCGGAAAAAATGTAACCAACCGTCTTCCGTGCCTTCACTGATCATCTTATCTTCCTTCTCGACATGCTTAATCTCCGTCAGGTCTCGCACTCGGCGGAGGTCCGTGACTATGCCGCGAACAGCGAAGAAAAGAGAAACGCCTATAGGGTCAGCGGCCCATTCACTTGGCATGATTAAATCACGAAAAGCTCACCTAGCATAGCCATAAGAACCTATCGTTCATATGAGAGGGCATGGTTCGGTTTGGAAATGAGAACGATCTATACTCATGGTATCGTAGAAAGCGGAGAGTAATGATGATCTAAAGACAAACCGGCAGAATCCAGCAAATGAAAGGCGGTGAACATAACTTTTTTTCGGACATACTGCCGCCGCCAAAAAATTCGGAGGAGAAACAGAACCTTTTGCGTCCACTTCAGCACGCAGATATGCCGCCATCGCAGTTGAAGCAGCTCAAGGCCTCTCTCCGCGATAGTGGAGTTCTGGGGCCACAGCAGTCGAAAAAGCAAAAGCGCCAGAATGTGAAGAGTGGTGCTGCGGCGCAAAATCGAGTCCAGCGCAATGCAGCTCTGCAGTCAATTCGAGACCGGTTCAATCCGTTCGAAATCAAAGCCGGGGGTACGCGGACAAAATTTGATGTGACAACTCGAGATGGGAATTCAGGCACAGCTGCTTCGCGTGCGCGACCTGGTGTTACCAAGTCACTGGGAGAAGAAAAAGTGAGTTATATCGCAGCTTTATGTTTCACTATATTTACTCACGGTTCTACAATATACAGAGACGCCAAACACTATTACGTGAAATGGAGAAGAGGAACAAGGTTGGTGGTATATTAGATCGTCGATTCGGTGAAGATGACCCTACTATGACGCCTGAAGAGAGAGCCGCCGAACGTTATGCTAGAGCAAGTCAGCGCAAGATGCGGAAGGAATCAATGTTCAACCTGGAGGGGGATGACGAGGAAGAAGAATTCCAACTCACACACAAAGGCCAGTCTTTGAACGATATCGACCAAGATGATTTCCAAGAAGGTGACTTGGGCGGGCTAGAAGATGATGCATCGGATTCCGAAGCAGCCCGAAAAAGGAAACGAGTTGTCTTTGATGATGGCGAGATAGATGGCCCAGAGGATTTAGAAGACGGGGAGGAACATCCCGAACGAAAGAAGTCAAAACACGAAGTTATGAAGGAGGTCATTGCCAAGTCGAAATTCCACAAGTATGAGCGGCAAAAAGCTAAGGAGGACGATGATGATCTCCGTGAAGAACTCGACAAAGGACTTCCTGATCTTTTCGAAATGCTAAGAGGAGTGAAGCCACCGCCAAAGCCAGAACCTCCGAAGAGTGATCTGGCATCTATGAACCCAGACCGCGCTGCTCTTTTGGAGGGCATAGCAAAAGGAGATACCGAAAAGGAATACGATCAGCGCCTTAAGCAATTAACGTTTGATAAGCGATCCAAGCCAACGGACCGCACAAAGACAGAGGAGGAGAAGGCCACGGAAGAAGCAGAGCGGCTGAAGGCTTTAGAAGAAGAGCGTGTTCGGAGAATGCGCGGCGAGGAAGTAAGTGAGTCAGAAGAGGAGGAGGAAGACGAAGAGGAAGAGGAAGGAAGTGAGATTTCCGAAGACGAATCCATCCCAGATGATGCGAAGGCTTTTGGGTTGCAACAATCTTCAGGTCAGACCAGTAATCGCCCCGAGCTCGCGTCGAAGACGAGGATGATTTTATAATCGATGATGATCTTGTTGAGACGAGATCCGATGTTAGCTTATCAATTGGCGATAGTGATGAGGAGATATTATCTGGAGAAGAGTCAGAAGAGGATGTCGAAGAGGACGAAGAAGACGAGCTTATCAACGGCTTTACTCTTCCTAGCGATAGCGCTGGAGAAGCTCCTGCTACAGCTGATGCACCAGCTGGTAATGAAGTGTTGGCTTATACATACCCTTGCCCGAAGAACCATGAAGAGTTCCTCGAGATCATTAAAGATGTGCCCATGGAGGACCTTCCAGTGGTTGTTCAGAGAATTCGAGCTCTGTACCATCATCGTCTGCACCCGGACAATAAGAAGAAGCTTAGCCAGTTCTCCCGCATCCTTATTCAACATGTTGCCTACATGGCCGAACAGCCTGAGCATCCTCCTTTTGCCATTCTTGAGAATATCCTCCGTCACGTCCACTCTCTAGCAAAGAGCCACCCCGAGAGCGTCTCTCAGGAGTTCAGGGCTCGTCTACGTGAAATCGCGGCAGACCGTCCACTTAATCTCCGGCCCAGTGACCTGGTCATTCTAACCGGAATTGCCACTACCTTCCCAACATCTGATCACTTCCACGCCGTCGCAACGCCGGCGCACCTGTGCCTTTCGCGATACCTAGGACAGGGTGCTGTGAACACTCTCGCAGATTTCGCAACGGGTGCCTATGCCGCAAGCCTGGTTCTTCAATACCAATCAGTTTCCAAGCGCTACATGCCTGAACTGATCAACTACATCCTCAACGCCCTGTGCAACCTTGCCCCAGAGGAGCCAAAGAGCAGCTTCGGTCTCTTCCCATCTCGGAGCCCGGAGGAATCTCTACGACTGAAGATCTCTAAATCGCTGAAGTCGAGGAAACTCCAGTTCTGGGACGTTACTGGCCCGGAAAGCCCGAAAACCCAAGAGGAGCTCAAGCTTTCCCTCATTAGCACATTTATCTCTCTCCTCAGCACCGCCTCCGATATGTGGTCCGACATATCTGCTTTCCTTGAGATCTTCGACCCAGCTCAGAAAGTCTTTAGCTTCCTGAACCGATCCTGCAAGGGTAAGATTCCCTCCACCGTTCAAGACACCCTGCAGTTGACCGTCGATAAACTCGACGGCCACACTTCGAAAGCCCGCCTTACTCGTCGCCCACTTCTACTCCACGATCACCGCCCGCTGGCTATTAAAACTGCCATCCCCAAGTTCGAGGATACCTTCAACCCGGACAAGCACTACGACCCCAACCGCGAGCGTGCGGAAGCCAACCGGCTCAAGGCCGAGTACAAGCGCGAGCGCAAGGGCGCCATGCGGGAACTACGCAAGGATGCCAACTTCATTGCGCGCGAGAAGCTGCGCGAAAAGAAGGAGCGCGATGCCGAGTACGAGAAGAAATACAAACGACTTGTGGCCGAGGTGCAGAACCAGGAGGGCAGAGAGGCCAATGCTTACGAGAGGGAGAGGAGATTGCGCCAGGGCAAGCGGTAATCATGTCGCTACTCATGACATTCCTGTTGGGTTTGGTTGGGTTTCAGGTATTATTATTATGTTGATGCTTAAACTTTGCATGCCGAACATGTGTATATATTCTTTATCATTTTATTTGTCAAGGCTGCCCGATCAAAAGAACTCTTTCATGTCAATTATATCTCCCAATTGCCCATGTGGGCTCTAAGCGTTATGCAGGCTGAGTAGCTGTTAAGATAGGTACAGTTAGTATCACTGTTGAAGCTCCGGTCCGATGCTGATCAAATATTCACAACGTTCCCTCTGATCTACCGGCACTGCCTCCATCCTGGTTTCGTTTGTTCTGATGAATATGCGACGATGCCCTTCATTACCCCAAGTATTCCATTGTGGACTCCCAGGGTAACGATGAGGATTTGGATCAAATGTCTTGATGAAGCTTGTCCAGTAACCTTGCATAACGGGTACGATCAGCGCATTGGTAGTGAAGTAAGATGAGGGCGGTTCTCCTGTCACATAATCTGGACCCCAAATAGCGTTGATTTCCACTGTATGATCTACACCGAGGCCGGATTCTTCCAGGTCTGGGTCTTGCACGGCGTAGTGGTAGTTCCAACTGTTGATTCCGGCCTTGGCGTAGATAGAGGACAGGTCAATCCCAGGGCAGATATACCGCATCTCACCATATGCATTACTTGCAGGCCTCCAATAGGGATTAGCGTCCGGAAATTGGCGCGTCTGATTCTCATGGAGGTACCAGGCGTTGATTGCAGCAATTTGCTTCAACGTAATAGTTGGGAATTGATTCTGGATGAATGTATCTGCTTCCCCAACATTGGAAACATTCTTGGGGACGAATATGGTACCTTCATTCGTGTCGTCGCCGAAAATGACAGGAACCTTGATAAAATGACCCTGGTGAAACAGACGGTATGTATAATCGGAAACAAGATCATCGTCAACCACTGGTCCGTATAGATATAGGGGCGCCTCTTGTGCATTTGGCAAGGGTGTGTTGAAATTTTCTCGCTGGAGGACCTCCAAGTCCAGACCACGCAAGCATGCAAGGGTGTCGGCGTCACTTGCACAGCCAGTGCGGATGACTATGTTGTTGTATGCAAACTGACTTTGGTCTAAACTAAGCATGGTAGCAAAGCTTTGTGACTCCGCAGCAGCAGCGTGAAAGAGACCATCATCCCTCCCGCCATAGGCTGATAGAAGAAGGGTGATGGAGGCGGCTCCTGCGCTAGCACCACCCAAAACCACATGTTTGGGGTTGCCGCCAAACTTGGGGAATTCGTTAGCATTATCATGCTGTTGCCAGTGCCTGAACCCTAACCTTGTGTATATGTTTCTGAACCCACTCCAAGACTTTGATCTGGTCCTTTAGGCCGTTGTTCACACTTCCATCTTGTAGAATCTCTCTCCCCGAGAGGAACCCGTATGGGCCAACACGATAATTGAAGGTAACCACGACGATTCCCATACCAGACGCCTGTATCAAGCCGGTACCGTTATAATTCGGATTTGAATTCTGATTGAAGCCCCCGCCCTGGATCCAAACAAATACCGGCAGCAACTTGGAATGGTCACCAGCTCTATAAGGAGAATACACATCTAGAAAAAGACAGTCTTCAGATGTGCCCTTGGGAATCGGATACTCGCTAGTGGGAATACATGTAGGGCCGTGCTTGAGAGAAAGCATCAGCTTTCGCGCAGTATGTAGCTCCGGATACGTAACTCTACCTCAAATGCATTCTGGATCCCAGCTTCCACGCTTGGATTCTGTGGGGCAGAGAAGCGTAACGGTCCTGTAGGAGGGGCAGCATATCGAATTCCCAGCCATTGTACTAGACCGTTCGAAAGCGCTTTACCCCTGTACTGAGCGTACTCAAGGTCTACCACCACTTCTCGAGCAGCTACTAAGCAGAAAAATAAGAAGACTTGGGCAACTATCATGTACCGTGCCATTCCGAAAGCATTTGCAACTCTACCCTGTGCTCCCCTCCTGATATGTGAACCTGACGGATATGTCTGAGAAACACAGTTGCGTGTAGATTTGGACTGTCTTTCATAACATTTCCGCTGCTAGCCCATATATAGCCTGAGGGCTTACTGGGCCAGTGGCCACCATCGTAGGGCACACAGCACACTTACGAGCTAGCATTCACTCCAAATCCACACTAAGGGGAGAACTGATCAATGCGAAGGGGCCCAGTGGCTAGATTTGCAGAAGAAGGTTCAGTAGCCGACTCGAGCCATGACTAGCAATGATGTCATCGCCTATACTCACGTTGATCGGCAATGCCCAAGGAGTGGGAGGGGAAATGAACTGTCTGACCCCATTTATTCAACAACTTGGGGAGAGCTGATTGGGTGGGCAGTGCTTGAAGCTAAAGCATCGACGCTTAGAGGCAAGGCTCCGAATAAGTTCCATTCACAATAGATATAGTCGAATGAGCTAGTACGGAGTAGGACGGAGTAGTTATTCAAAAGCACTCTTCATTGAGTACTCGGTGGTCTTGTGGGGGCCCGAACGAGAAAATAGACCAATCAACGATGGATAACAAACTTCCTCCGCATTAAACAAACTGCATCGATTTTCTTCCCCGCAATTGGAAACCCGGAGAATTCAACCAACATATAGACTACCTGGTTTACTCGGACAATCTCCGCTTGAGGAAAGCACTATCGTGTCAGCTTTATACACATCCTAATTCTTGAGCTAAATCCCGCATAGTTTATCTCTCACCCGTATTTCCGGAGTCTACTTCCGTGTCTGTTTCGCGCACACATCTTCACTGGCAATGGCCCCTCATCACAACCCCGCACCTGATGTAGGGGACGAAGAGGAGGAGGATTACATGGCTATGGTGATTGAGGAGCCGCAGCAAAAAGAAACGTTTACTCAGAAAAAACGCCGACAACAGAGAGAGGTAGGTAGCTTGTGCTGATGCCATCTAATCCTTGTTCTCTGTTTCCCTCACACCTGCAAGGCGCGCAAGTGAACTAATGCGTTCCTCTCCTCTCCTCAGGCCGAAGCTCGAGCTAAAGTCCCATCCAAAGCCGAACGCGCAGCCCAGGAAGCCGAACGTCGTCATGCCGCCTTAGCCACCAGCACGCTTAACCCCTCCAACAAGGGATTTCAAATGATGGCCAAACTGGGGTTCAAGCCGGGACAGGCATTAGGTAAATCCCAAGGGGAGGGAATATCGAACCAAGAACCCGATAGCGCATCCGGCGCCCGAGCAGAACCACTTAATTTGGTGTTCAAGGAGGACCGGGGTGGTATTGGTCTGGATAGTGAAAAGAAACGCAAGTTTCGGGAAGAGGCCGAAGAGGCAGTGAAAAAGATAAAGCAGGAAGAGGGTGATTACCGCGATCGTGTTCGTACTGAACGGGAGATACGACGTATGGAAACTCAGTTTCACGCTGCGCAGAAGGTTGCCGAACGATTGGATGCGGAGGCGGAGGCAGGAGACGGGGAGACCGTCCAGACGAAGCGTAGGAAGACCCCGACTGAACATGAAGGAGAATCCGAAGAAACGACCAGTGGATCAAAAACCCCGCAGCCCAAGGTCAAGGTCAAACCGACCTTGCAGATCAATATCCTATATCGTGGGCTCGTCCGTGAGCGGGAAGAGAAAGAACGTTCCATCCAGGCTCGACATCTATTGCAAACGTCCCTGCCATCGTCATTTTTCCCCAACCCACGGTTACCAGGGTATGACGACCCGACGTTGGAACGGGAGGATAAAGTGGCGCTCGACAACAAACCTGATATCTCAACTATCCTTGAGCAGGAACTTGACGAAGAAGACCCAGAACTGGACGAGTTTAATGCACTCGAGCCGAGTGAGCGGCTGGCTCGGATAGTGCAGTATCTACGTGAGACACACCATTACTGTTTCTGGTGCAAATATCGCTATGAGACTGGAGAGATGGAGGGATGTCCAGGTGTGACAGAGGAGGATCATGATTAATGACTTACTTGTACCATACGATTCTTAGAAAACCACATCTAATGTTACTTTAAATGCTTATATATAGATAGCTAGAAAGAGAATGTCAGATCAAAATTAACCTATACAGTCTATGCGAACTCCCAGTAACTATACATTGACCTAAACCACGGCCTACCGTGACTGTATTTACAACAATGATGATGAAATATCCGCAAAGATTCCTTGACGCATTATAACATGAACAGATACCAAGCTCTGGCAACGAGAGCGCAGCGAAATATTGGACTTTAAATGTCACCCCCGAAATATGTATAAGAAATTAGACTATGAAACCTATGCCCATGTCCTGGACAGAGATCAGAACAACGATCAGTAATGGGTAAATAGCTACTCGTGGGAGGGCATCATTTTCATCAGCTGCGCCAGCGAGCGATTTGGGCATTTCTGCAGCGTCTGGTAACAACCAGCGCAAATGCGCAGGCAACAGAAAACACATCGGTATCGAATATCTCGATCATATTTCTGGCAGGTCATACATGGAAGCGGATGCCAGAGGTTGGTGGCAGTGGGCATTGACCGATGCTCCTGATAGCAGGCATAGTGTAATCGGTTTAGCGGAGCGGCGACGGGCTCGTAATCTGGCGGCGTCCATGGTCCATTGCTCTCTTCGCTTGAAACCGGTTCGATATATGTACTGGTACCGTCGATTTCTAGCTCTGGCTCTGGCTCGGGAATATAGCTCTCTAGCGGGTCCTCGATCGGCCGAACGTGTTCTTGATGGCGAACAGGGTACTGGTCTTCACTGGATGGAGGAGTTACTTGTTGTATAGGAGCCGGAGCCGGAGCCGGAACCGGCGGCTCCTCCCGCTTGGGAACGGGAACTCGAGGAAATCTGGGAAGCGGCCGGTCTTCATATTTAGGGGTAGGGTTGATGTGATGGTACGGCGACTGGTTTGACAACGAGTCGGCTGGGGCAGAGGGGAATGCGGGAGGAGAAGGCAGCGGGTTGGGCGGCAGGTCCTTCTCTTGCGAGCGAAGAGAATGGCCCGGTACCGAGTCCATTCGTGCTGGTATCACGACTTCCTCGGAACTTGAATCTCTCCGTGGGGGTGATTCGGCGTTTTTCTTTCTGGATTTAATCGCAGAAAGTGATGGCATTCTGAGACCACGGGAGCGGCTTTCCTTGTCGAGAATAGCATGGTTATTCTTCTTCTTCTCGCCTTCCTCTGTATTTTCTTCTGATCGCTTCGTAGGTTGAAATTGTAATAACGGACGGGCAAATACCAATGCCGGCTGACGTCGGTGGATATCAGTGCACTTTACTCCGTAATTGATAACAAAGAGGCTGCGCGATTGAAGTATGAGTACTTGGCAAGCCCACAACTTGCTTGAAATCAGTCGATGTAGATAATGTACACTGTGGCAATTAATACAAGGAAGGAAAATCAGAGGAGGAACAGAGAGGAAAAAGAAAAACACTTTGATTAATCTGAATCGAGTTAGGAACAAACCAGAGACCAAGCTGAATTGTGGAATGGATCCATCGATTTCCTGGATCGAACTACCTTTTAGTTCGGATGATAGTTCGTTACAGTCTTGAACCCAAAAAAAAAATAATAATAATAATAATAATAAAACAAAAAAATGAAAAATGAAAAATGAAAATTTACAGGAATTTAAGATAACTAGCGCCCTTAATACACGAGAAGTCTATCAATAATGGCCCTTTTCAAGTCTGTTAATCTTTGGTTCCAGTTGTGTATCGCCGATAATATTATCAGGATCAAGGTGGATAAGAAAGTATATAGGAATTGGTTAAGGAATCACGGTGAAGATCGATTGGGTATCAGATACAGAGCACTCCGTAGCGCTGACCAACTTGGTAAGATAGGTAATGGAAATAGATAACCTGAAAAAGCAATGGCTGATCCATTCAGGAGCGATGCAGATATGTTGATCCCTATAAGATCTGGCGTCATACTTGGGTATTAATCATTCCGTGCTAATCTACGCTGCGTACAAACAACAAATGAAAATGCTTGGACAGGTAAAAAAAAAAAAATTAATTGATTGACCATGATTGAATTTTCTTTACAGTGAACTACCCGGTACTGACTTAGGATGTGATCAAATACAGAGATTACAAGGAATACTAATATTATATGGATGAAAATTAGATTTAAAACTCATGAACCGGTGTTCATTTATTTTACTTTATATTTTATTTTCTCTATTCTGATCAATAAGATTGTTGTGGTGGCGTGAGGTCGCAGCTAAGTAAACTTAGCCCTGAGGGTCTCCTAAGTGGATCTATGTGCATAGCTGAAACTCAAAGATTTGAGACAATTTTTGTTTTAGATTATAAAGAATTAATACACGATAAATACCAACAACCACTCCGATGTGGTGTAATGGCTAACATCGCTGTCTCTCACACAGCAGCTCGGGGTTCGATTCCCCGCATCGGAATTCCTTTTTTGCTCTACTCCGTCCTTTCTCCGTTTCCGTTCATTCCTCCTTCGTTTTTCTTTTTATATACTCACTGCCTTGACTGCCTTCCACTCGTCTACTTACTTTTCCCATTTCTCCTTAACTTAGCACCATTCGTTTAATCCATAGGCACCATTCCGAAACCATCGTACAAGAATCAGCCTCTATACCCCGCCATTTTGCATATCCAACATCTATTCAGACTAACTACTAGTACTAGCATAGGGCAAATCAATTTGTACCCTGATCAAGACACCATGCTCCTTGTCAGCACACACAAGCTACCTTAACCACCATTATCGAGGAATATGTATGCAATCTGGCTGCCTAGTACCTCGCCCAGCACATATGAACGAACAGTCAATCAAGTAACACAAGTTCTATGCCAATGTATGTATATAAAGAAAGAAGGAAAGGTCCGGTCCGGTCATGCGAATACAAAGATCATGAGAGTTAAGAGCAAACGTAGAAAAAGAGAAAGACACTGAAAGAGGAATGCAATATCGCTTTTCACTAAAATCCTCCTGCGCCGACAGATGTGCACCACTGATCTCTCATTCCTTTCTCCCACAGTCAATTGGTCATATCAGAAAGATAAATTAGAAAGAGGGAATGGTACTAATGTCAATGAATGGGGCAGCTTTCTGACACCTTTAAGACGTGGCCTGGGGATTTCCCGTAGAGTCGGTGATCTCAACTGAACGTGTTTTGAGCTCTTTAGGAATCAAATATCCTTGACTCTCTTGTAGTGTGAATTCCGACCCCGTGGATGCGGCGGCGTCAGCTTTGGAGACCGAGTCACCGGTATGCGCATGGTCCACTGGAAGCACGGACCGCGAGGCAGACCCCTCAGCCTGCGCATTTGATGACGTATTTTCTACGTGCTCTGCGGATTCGTCTCCTTTGTCTTCATCGCCAATAACGGCGGCTAGACTCCGGAAATTGAACAGCGGTTCTGTAGATGAGCCGTTCCCCTCTGTGGTCCCAGTGTGATCGCCAGACATCGACTCAACAAGAGAGGAGAACGACGAAGAAGCACTCGAGACATGTCGCAAATGTGACGGTTTCGATAACTCCCTGGGTGAAGATTGAAGGACGGAAGATTGCATAGACTGATGTTGATCTGCCAAATTCGCAGGCGGATATACAGCATTCATACTTGCGGACGCAGTACCGGAACTTGTAGACGTAGTATCGATGGGAGCATCCGGGGATACACGATCCACTTCCTTACCCTTGCCAGCAGGTGTGCTTTCCTCGCCAATAACAGAGGAAGAGCTGCTTGCAATCCTCCCTAGCCCTGTAGGTACATCCAAAGCGGATCCACTTGCATTGGCACTGTAAAGACCGGTTTTACGGGCAGATTTTCCCGCCTTCTTGGCCTCCTTCTCTCTCTTTTTCGCTTCCTTTTTCGCTTCCTTCTCCTCCCTCTTACGACGCTCCTCCTCGCTGGCTAAACTCAGCCTAATCGCCTCCATCATCATCATCTCTTCCAAATCGTCAATACGGTTTCGCCGGGAACTATTGCGTGGCGGCGCTATATTCCCAGAGCCCTCTTCAGCAGCATCCGTTTCGTTTGTAGCACCGCGTCGATCCGTTAAGAATGCAAGAGCCTGCAGCGCCGGGGAGCCTGTGCGGCCAGAAGAACTGTGATTATCCGAACCACCAGCTCTCCGCATGACGCCTCTCCGCCCAATATTAAAAGTTCGAGAGTCGCTTCCATTGCTGTTCGAGTTCATCAGATATGCTGCAGTGTGGAGAGCGGTTGCCGCTGCAGACCTCCGCGCAGCATGCGCCCGAGCGTTGGCTAGTTTTTGAGCCCAATCTGGACGGACCTTATCGGTTGTGATTACCGTAGGGTCATTTGCAGACAATGATGTAGCGCGCCTCCGGCCCGTAACAGCTGTAACATTTCCAGAAGAAAGTGAAGATGTAGATGATACTGGGGAAGTAAAGTTTGGGCGAACACTAGGGTCTGACGCATATGTAAGTCCTCTGCGGAAGGGTGGCGGCGCGTATGTCACTCCAAATTCAGGCTGAACGCAGAAGGGGCAGGCTGCAGGTTCCGAGACAAGTTGGCAATCCTGGCTACCGGCAGCATCACCCTCGGCGGCTGCGGCGGGGGCGTTTGGATCAGAATCTCCATGCTCAGGAGGATGTGGGTCGGGACGTTTAATCTGTACAAAGCATTCAGAGCAGATAGGTTGGTCGCAGCACCTCGTTCGGTTTAGGTAAGGAGGATAATAGAGGAAGCAGATGGGGCATTCAGCCGCGTCTTTATAAAGGTATGCCTCGATGGGCTGACCATTGACGAATGGGTCACGAGGGAGCTGCATTTCCCGGGGGGCTGGGTCGGCTTGTGTACCATGTTTAGATGTAGTGAGAGAGGCGAGTGTCTTTGCCCGGGTGCGGAACAATGGCGAACTCGAAGTTCCTGAGGCTAAGGGTGATGCGGGGGAAGGTAAGGAGTGGGCTGGGGTGGAAGATTGGGACGCATCGGAGCCATAAGATTGTGACCTTGAAGTGATCGGTACCGTTAGATGTTGGATTCCTTTTGTATCAGTTGACTCTTTTGCCCCTTCTGTGACTTTCGGTGGGTTCTTGTACTCTAGCTCTGGAGGGATTTCATCGGGCGGTGGAATAGGCAGGCCTCGCGCGGCAGCCATAAGCTGATGTTCCGTCCAAGAATCGGAGAAGTCATTAAGACCTCTCCAGAAGGGCGCAAGTCGTCGTTCAATCTACGCTGAAGAATTAGCCTTGATCGCATTAAACAGTTGGCGCAAATTTTATATTACCATTAATTGCCTCACCATAGCCTTGCTGAAATCTTCCGTTCCCGTATAGACACCCTGCGTAACTAGGTAACCTCCATCGACATGTTCTTCCCTCATACTACGCTCCCGTTCCTTGACCCGAGCCACCCGTTCCCTCTCCAAACGGCGAGCCTCTCGCTCTTGCTTCGTTTCTCGGCGGTGCTCGAGGGTCGCAACATCCCGCTCTGAGCTTCCGCCGATTCCGAGAATGGAGAGATCTGGTCTACTGCCTCGCGTTGATCTGGAGCCCTCTGAATGATGTCTGTCGCCATACGGTGATCTTCCATGTCCACCGCCATGGCTTCGGCGATTTGGAGTAAAGGGTGGCCGGGCCTCTCTTGTCTGTGAATTGCCCATCTCTGCCGAGAATGGGAATTGGTATGAGGAAGGTCAAAATGGGGATGTCTGACAGTTGATAATCTGAGAATCTGGGGAGGCTGCGGAATGCCGGATAAGAAAGCGGAGACGACGCGAAGTGTCCGAAAGATAGTAAGAGAACAAATTAGAGATTTGAGGGAACACCGGGTGAGACTCCCAGGTGGAAACAAGAAGGGGTCAAAGTGGAGCGATAGGCTGTGAGACCATCAATTATTAGAGCGGGGGGGGAGGGAAACAAAATGGTGATAATAAAGTCGCTGTGGCCATGTGAGCGACAAAGAAGCTAGCTGGCTGCTGGAAGCGGCGATGAGATCAGAATGCGGGCCAAGTTAACCGCGGATGGATGGGGCCGAATCAGGGGGTGAAATATGACGGGGAGAAACGAAGAGAGCACTTTGGAATGGGAAAGCAGTGATAAATAAGTCGCAATACTAGCATCTAGTGTTGGAAACTGTACATGAACCGGGAGACAAGGTACCTAAGATAACAAAGAAATAGAAGATGGTCAAGAAGATTGATGATGGATGGACAGGACTAAATCGTGACTTTTGAGTTCAATAGTACGTGGTACACACCATTGCATTGGTACAAAATGCTGTAATGGTAATATGATACATCTCCTCCGAAGAATGAGAGGTCCTGATGCGACGCCACGCCTTTGTATTACATCAACTCTTCGGATGCTTAATGGTGGTAAGAGGGGCGAACCCCTTGGCTTTGGGGGTTCTAGACTGGAAGTGATCCCTCCACTACTGTACAGAACGAAATCACTTTTATGGTAAATAAAACATCATACATTTGCTTGGGTTCTTGATATTGAACGTATCTCTTAGTTAACTACTTGAGTCTAGGATATTACTAATCGACTCCCTGTAACATCGCATGGAATATGGAATCAGTACAGTACGTACTGTACTGTCCTCCTTCCCAAGACTCTAGACTTGGCATCGAGTATCATACGGAGTATGTGGCTAAGGCTGTTGGCTGCTGCGCCACAGGTCGGTCCCGTTTAGGTTTGGGTTAGCGGGTGGAAAATCCATCATCTACTCCGTACTACAGAATTATTTATCACTCCCACAGCTGTAGTTGGTCCAAATCGATTCTTTACTCATACCTCTCTCATTAATTGAGGGTTCAGGCTGCTATCACAATCTAATATAGGATGCAACAAAACCTTAACTATTGATTCTGACCTAGAGCAATTGGTCAAATAGCTTATAGTGGTTGCAGTTGTCACCATACCTTTTCTTTCTTATTTTTTCGTTTGCTTCTTTCCTTATTGGTACCTTACAGCCTTACCTCCTCTATTATTACCTATTAGCCAGGCTATTGCTATATGGTTCATCACCAGTCATAGCAAATGACGACCGATTCTTCAGCAATTAAACGCCTTCACATCACTCCTTTCACCGCAGAACTTCTTCCCTCCATATTATCTTCATCCATTCGACCATTAGCCACAGAAATCTCCTTCCACAGCATCCCGACATTTCCGGAGAATAATTACGGCTACGTGACGCTACCGGCAATGGAGGCGGATAAAATTAAGAAGAAGCTCAACGGTTCAATCCTCAAAGGTCGAAAGTTCAAGGTGGATTTAGCTCGGCCACAGAAAAGACAGAGGGACGAAGGCGAAGATGAAGACGAAACCGATAAGGCAGCTTCCAATACAGTATCGCCGTCAAGCAAGAAGTCAAAGAAACAAAGGGATGTCGGTAATGTTTTAGAGGGATATGAGCTTCAAACAGATCGCCAAGTAAAGAGAGGCTGGACAGAGTCAACAAGCTCCTTGAAGGAGAGGCGCAAGGAGGAGAAGAGAAACAAGAAGAGGGATGATAGAACAGGAAAGTCGCAGGCGAAATCCAAGTATACGGAGAAGGCAGAATGTTTGTTCCGAACTAAAATCCCTCCTAACAGAACGTCGTCTGCTGAGGTGGAGCAAGACAAGCAGTCAAAGAAGAAAAAGAAAAAATCTTCGCAGGAGCCTGTTGTACATGAGTTTTCAAAGACTGTTACACACCCGAGTTTCCTACGGACGGATAAGGACGGAGCAGCACCTACGTTTACTTTCGAAGAAGGCAAGGGCTGGATAGACGATTCAGGAAACGTAAAAGAACAAGCCAGCGAACGAATCAGAAGTGATCAACGCACACCAGGGAAAATACCAGGGGCAAAGGAGAAGCCGAAGTCCAAAACTTCGCTCAAGACTAAGGCAAGCCCTCAAAGACTTGATGATACAAATACCGTTGGAGGAGATGTTGATATGAAAGAATCGGATGAATCGGATGATTGGACCTCGTCTAGCGGGGCAACGTCATCCGACGATAGTGCCACCGATTCAGAAAGCGAGGCAAGCGTGACATCCAGCTCATCAGATGCATCGGGCATCTCCAGTGACCAGGATGAACAGGGATCGCAGTCGACGCCCCATGGTGTAGAAAAGATTTCCGGCCCCGAAGCAAAGGTGGACCATGGTGTCGCTCAAGCGGAGAAAGATGATGGGCCACACCCCCAAGAAGTCCATCCACTGGAAGCTCTTTTCAAGAGACCTGCACCTGACACCACCGATGTCAAGTCTGATGCAGATGCCAATGTGCAGTTTAGTTTCTTTGGACAGGGAGACATGGAATCCGAGGAAGAATCACAGGAAGTTGCAGAGCCACAAACCCCGTTCACAAATAAGGACTTACAAAGCCGTGGACTGAGAAGTGCTGCCCCCACACCTGACACAGCGTTGGCTGGGCGAAACAAAAAGTGGAATAGCCTAGAACAACATGAGTTCATGGATGTGGATGATGAGCCATACACCAACACGCCTGTTCCAAAATCCGGCCTAGGAATCAAGGATGAATCTGAATTCACAAAATGGTTCTGGGAGAATCGCGGAGATAACAACCGAGCTTGGAAGAAGAGACGGCGTGATGCTGCGAAAGAACAGAGACAAAGGGAGAATAGGAGGAAAGGAATGAAAGGGAAGTCATAGGTTTAATATCCTTGAATATATTTCTATAGAATCATGTGGATATCTCCTAGCTGTGTCAATTGAGATTCACTAGGAATAAAGCATTCCAAAAATCAATGTGCATCGTCCATAGATAGAACTGATATAATTATCACGTGATGACAAGGACCTGGAGTAAGCTTTATATCACCGCAACTGATAACTCATCAGTAGAAGCTGAAAAGATTACTTCCATCCCTTACTATTTTCTCAGCCATGTCTCGTTACCGGGACACTGTATCTCATATTATTATTCTTCTTATAGTTTTCTTGTCACTGACAACTTTCACGTTGGCATCTTGTGAGTGATCATTTGTGGTTAACCCCAATCGTGGCTTAAAAGTATTGACTAAATTATGATTATTCAAGCCCCTGCCTCATTCTGCAAATGCACTTGCTTCTCCAATAGCACCATCATCCCGCTCCATCCTTCGAAACCAGAGACTACCGCTCTAACCAGCGTTTTCCATCTCCTCAGTCGTAGCGACTCCATCGATGATCACGACAATACAAATGAAAGACGAGCCAGCAAATATCGCTCCCTGAGCTGCAACGATTGCAATCGAAAATTTTGCCTTGATTATGACTTGCCCACGTGTAAAGATGCGAAAGAGGAGGATGTATTTACTACGTGTTTCCGTACGATATAACTTTGCTTTTCTTGCAACTTGTGCTGACTAGCCGTTCGGGTATGCAGAGAGGGACTCCAGGAAAGACGAGGCCATAGTGTTCATCTTTATAATTGCTACAAGCGGACTGCTTGCATGGGCTGTCTTCAAACCATGGATACAAAAGTATATCGAGGCATGTCATACACCCTTGTCCTGGTCATCCCAGCTTGCTTTAATGCTAATTCATCGATAGGCAGCAAGAGAACGGCGATCATACATCCCTGTGTCTGGGAATACAGACCGATAATGTTACTCTGCTACCAAAACTCTTCCAGATACCCATAATGTGTGGCTACCTTCTACGGAACACTTCACAACTCTCTGTATATTCTTACATTCATAGTTACGAAATTTACGCTTTTGGAAATGCCTTACAAGGACTCAAAATAGCTATGGTAGTAGCTTCTGTGCGATCTCTACAAATTGGCAGGTCTTGTCGGCAAAAATCATGGCATTCTTAGGTAACGTAAACCATGGGCCGGAACTAAGGCATGCTCAGATATAATTTTTTTTAATGATAAATAGGCCGATGCGCTGGTTCAGAGCAAGTCCCTTGTTCTGGAACCCAGAGTTAGTCGCCACTACCAATGTACATTATTGACACAGCACCAGCTAAGTCATGTCAATACATCTGATTCTACGCACCTGCTTGAAACGCTGCAAACGTACGAGTCTTAACAGCGCTGATAGCAGGGGCTCCTTGAGGAAAAAAGTATAGGGTGTCGCCCGGCTCGAATAGAGTAAATATCCGATGAATCCGGGGTACATTCTATTAGTAAGATGTACTGTGTAAACTGCTACGCAGTAGTTAACACCGACACATTCGCCATCATCCACATGAGAAATGTTTTGTGATGAACCAACCCATAGCAAAATGGTTCCTATGAGGTAAGGGTCGGGTCTAGTCATCTTATTTGGATATGATCTCCACCGGTCAAGAACAGGTTGCGGACTTGGTACCTACAATATATCTAAACAAATTAATCTCTTCCAAGGATACGTACTGTAATAGCAAAGGCTTAAAACGCATGACGCCAGGTTTCAGAACTCATTATTGAATTAGATGGTAGCCCAGATGAACGCTCTACTGTATAGACACTCTTGATGAGCAAAGCCATCGGTCCCACAGCGGGTCTCGGACACAACGGCACAGCATTCGGAAAATCTGCCTTGCTACTGTGTACACTCAGTGTACTGCTGACAGGCCTTAGGGAGAAAAATGTTACCTAAACAGAGCCGGTGTTTGCCACTGGCCCTTCAATTGATGCTACATACATAGTAGTACGCATCTATCTAATAGTACCGCAACAATATTCTATACTACCTATCTGATGATCGCAGAAACTTTCAACTCGTTCACTGGGGTGTCATTTCCCAATTCGTCTACTTCTATTAACAGTATCCGGTACTAGTACGTGCTTAGGTTCTGGTGAACTGAAATTTAAGAAGAAGTTCGTGCCAGTCTCAAACTTTAATCTCCATTAGTTCAAATTTTTGACCTGGATCCATGATCATGTGCAGCCTACTATTCCGTTTTTGGGACTAGCGTACTGTCAATGGGTTGGATCTCCAATCAAGGTAGCCGCTGGGTCGGGAACTCCATGGATTACTTCCGTCGTTTTACATGACAGAACCCTGGAACTTTTTGCAGGCGGCCCTTCTCCTTTCTTCTTTATAGTGCTCTACTACTTTTCTTCCCTGCCTCCTGACTCTTGCTCATACTGTGCACTCCCCGACTGTGATACGCCATACTTGTACCACCTAGTCATAATAACTTTTCCTCTCTATATCCCTATCCCACCGGGTCTCGGGCGCTTACCAAGTCGGGATTGAAACACAGGAAAAAGAGAAGAAGAAAAGCACTTATCACAGAGTTCACAGGAGGTTAGAAAAGAGATAGTCTTAGAAGGAGACCTGTCGTTTTGTGGAGGGCTAGCCGTAAGAGTCTTGGACGTTTCCAAAGATCATGGTATTGACACAACAGAGAAGACAACCTGCCTCGGACGACCAGTTTCCAACCACTCAGCTATTTCTTCTAGGTATGTAAAGCGATCCAAACTCTTTCTCTCATCGTTTCATTACTTTATTTTTTTTTTTCTAACTTTCAGGTGCTGACACTTGTTTGACTATATAGCAATATGCCGTGTTGCGGAGCCTATTGCCTTGACTTCTATCTTCCCATACTCATGGGTGATGGTCAAGGACTTCAATGTGGCTAATGGATCCGATGCTTCCTTCTTTGCTGGTATACTTGTATCGGCCTTCTCACTTGCCGAAGCGCTCACCGGTATGTTTTGGGGAAGCCTCTCTGATCGTGTCGGTCGCAAACCTGTTCTGCTTTCCGGTTGCCTCGGAACTATGGCGTCCCTCCTCATCGTCGGCTTCGCGTCGAATTTTTGGGTAGCTCTCTTTGGTCGGGCCCTCGGAGGCATCTTAAACGGAAACATCGGTGTCATTCAGACAATGGTCGGTGAACTAGTCAAAAGACCTGAGCATGAACGTATGATCCCTCTATCTCATTGCTCCCGTGACTGGAATCTTGGCTAATAGTCAAATGTGTAGCTCGAGCTTATGCTGTGATGCCATTTGTTTGGTCAATTGGCACAATTATTGGGCCAGGTATGTATTAAGGGACATTAGTCGACTAAACAGCATAGCGGAAGATGTTAACCATATACGCCATCGCAGCTATTGGAGGGTTACTAGCAAAGCCTGCTGAAGGTTTCCCTTCCTTGTTTTACCGCGATGGCCTCTTTGGCAGATTCCCTTATCTCCTACCAAACCTTGTTTGTTCTGTCTTACTCCTTCTCAGTATCATCTTCAGTTGGCTCTTCCTGCAAGAGACTCATCCCGATATGCAGTCTTCGAAGGTTACCGAAAATCTCGACAACAGATCCGCAGAACGCCCTCTTCTAGCGACTGCTGGGGCAACTGCCAATGCAGGGGCGGACCTACGAGCCGAATCATACGGGACTTTCAACCAGGTTCACCTGTATGACGACGAGGATTGGATGGTGCGTTCAGATGGTTCAAGGCCCGAGAAAAGTCCCCAAAGACAAATTATCTTCACGAAACGAGTCATAATGCTCATCGTTGCGTTGGCGATCTTCACTTACCACTCCATGACTTATGACCATTTATTGCCTATTTTTCTGCAGGACAAGAATTTCCGGGACATCCCTATTATTGGAAACTCGATATTGAAGTTCCCTGGTGGTGTTGGTCTCTCAACCAGAACAGTCGGCCTAATCATGTCTACCGACGGCGTCATTGCACTCGTCATTCAAAGCGTTATTTTCCCTGCTTTGTCACATTATTTGGGAGTGTGGAGACTTTTCGTGATTGTGACCATCCTTCATCCGGCGGCTTATTTCATGGCTCCATTCCTTATTTTTCTCCCTCGCAGCGTGTTGTTCTTCGGCATCTACGGATGTTTAGTCGTTCGCAATATCCTTGCAATCATTGATTACCCCGTCTTGTTGATCCTTATTAAGCAAGCTAGCCCTTCCGACTCGGTCTTAGGAAAGATCAATGGCCTTGCTGCTTCCGCCGGAGCTGCTTCTCGCACTATCGCTCCACCTATCGCCGGTTATTTATACAGCACCGGTGCTGAACTTGATTGTACTGCACTTGCATGGTGGGGAAGCACTCTGGTCGCAATCGTCGGTGCCGTGCAGCTGTGGTTCATGGAGCGAAAGAAACACTCGTCTGCTAAAATCCAGCCAGCTGCTCCCTGCCACTATCTGCCAAATGAGACCCACTCTCGGAGAGACACCGTCCATATCATAGTTACAGGTACTGATGTAAGCACGCCGGATATCTAATCATCTAGGGGATAAACAGACGGTGCCGCAGACAACGTCTGGATCATCAGGCCCACGAGTGGTACTCACTGAGAACGCCTCAATCAATTTACTGTTTTATGCGATGGGCAGTGAAGCAGTACAGACATTTTTTCTACTTTTTTTCTTTCTTTTTTAAGTTGACGTTCCCCTAGCCTTGCGATCAGTTGAAGGGCAAAAAGTTCTGGACTTTGTTTTGTTTGGCATGGTGTCTGGGTGTTCTACGTATTACGTCTGATTTTAAATTTATCGTTTCTACATAACGTCCGTCCCCATATGGATCGAGAGGTAATCCAAAAACACTAGTAGCCTCTTTTTACCTAGATTTTGTTCACTTCCAGAAGCACAGCACTACAATATATAAGCCGATGAGAACACTTTGAAGCTTAAGCGTTTGCCCATGCTAAATCCGATTCACGCGGATGCCACCTACCTGATCTAGTTTGTAGCATGAATGAATGGATGTCTTTGTAAGCACTGATAAGTGTGTCATTGTGTGCGTCACAAAAAGTAATCCTTGAGTAGCTCCAATCTAGTACCTAGTACATTCATCATTTGCTTTAGCTTGATGGGGCTCCATCTGAACACAATTCATAGTGATTGCCAAATCAGAAATGATTCAAAGCTTCTTGTAAGTGCGCAAAGCGAAATGACACATATCGGCGCTATCCTGCCCCAGTTGCCACGAACACAAAGTTGTGGAATCCTCCTATGTGGTGCAGGGAGACTATCGGTGTTAAGAGTGGTGGGGAAGGCCCAGGAAGGATGGAACATTGTAGATATTGCCAGATCAAGATGAAATCTCAATATAATAGGTGCTACCATAGGGCGGTGAGAGTTTGGTAAAATTTCACCGCCCTGCCAAAAACCGTACTACGCCTATATGGGAATAGCTTTGTTTACAAACATCCTGGCAACAGGCGAAAATAATAAACTCGGGGTTGGACTTGCTCTCATTCTCAACGTTGTGTCATATGGTCCTCTAACGCTTTGCATATATACTGCTCTCGCGTATCGCGCTGTTACCTGCCGAGGGTTCCAGAACAAGCACTCTACTTGTTATTGCATTTTTACTCATTACCCCATTGTCATGCCCACACCTCTCTCTCCGTTAACGCCCTCGCGCCAAAATTCACAGCCGTTTTCCCCAGGAATTAGCGGCCTGGTCGCGCGGGAGGATGCCGTTGATAATATTGTCGTGTCAGATAATAGACTGGAAAATAGCTTCTCAAGCCCAAGAAAAATGGTTAGCGATCTGAGCGCAGATACTGAAAGGCGCCAGAGCTACACTGCTACACAAGAACCAAATGAGCAGGACCTAGATTATGATAACACCGACCCTATACTGCCGCCTAGCTCACCATTTCAGTATGAGGCTAGGGATGATACAGTCGACTTCCAGATGCTCCGGAGCCAACAATTGTCTACGACCCCCAGGAAACGGTCCTACGAACATGTACCTGAGGACGATGCGTTAGACGATAGATACAGGAAAGGCACTGCTCGAAGAGATATGCCGAACATCAGTGTCTATACCGATGAGGACGCCAGCATCAATAATGAACAAAGCAGCAGAGAAACTGCTGGACTAGAGATTGGAAACAGCCTAATGGAAGAAAAGCACAACGAAGGAATGAGCACAGTGATCCACGAGAACAATGGAAATGATGCCTCAAACGAAAAGGAGGGTGCGAGCCTGCACGAAGATGATGATATGATTGACGACACAAACGATTCCATGGATGAAACATGCCTCAGCACGTTTTCCGCTGTTACCAATGTGGACATGACATCATTCGCACATCTGCGGGGCGACTCACCGTTCAAGGCTAGACAACCCCTTCCGAGTAGCCCTAGTAAGCTACAAGGTGATCTGGACGAAAAGGGTGAACCGGGGACTCCTACCACTGCTAGAAAATCCCCCAGAGTAAGCGGCTTGGTTGATTTCGGCTCACCCACGCCTAGAAAAAGAGATGCAAGAGTTAGCATAAATCCAACCGAGACTCCCAACTTGCTTGACTTGTCAGACCAGCCCAGCTTTTTCCCGCACAAACGCTACAGCATGCAAAATGAGCGTTACTCTCCGTCACGGCGTTCGCCATTAAGGACTGTCCAGGAATCAACCAAGTCTCCTGCAAAAGTGTCATTACTCGACTTTGATCTCCCTGCTGCTCCAACCCCCCGGTCCATCCCTTCCGTGACACCACGGGAGCTCGAGTCCCTGAAGTCCGGTTTTCTTTCAGAGATTTCTTCTCTCAAAGCCACGCTAAGTGGCAAGGAGGCGGAAGTTGCTAGTCTTAAGCAGGCTGTTGCAGACGCCGAACGGCGTGTTGGAGAGACATCAGAGGAGGTTCGGAATGAAGCTGCCCGGAGGGAGACCCTAGAAATCGAACAAGCTGAGTGGCAGAGAAGAGGTCAGGAGATGGAAGATGTCTTGCAATCTGTCAAGGCTGAAATGATGGAAGGTGAACAGGAGAGAGAACAGTTGATGAGACGAGCCGAGGAAATGGAGAAGAGCAAGGAGCAGTTAGAAAGCAGGGTGGTTGAACTAGAGACACAGTTGAGCTCGGCTCGCAAACCAGCGTTGAACGACAAGTATGCCTCTGAACGTGCGCAAATCGGCAAAACTGCCGAGGAAACGGCGAAGGAAGTTCAAGATGCCGTAGAGAAGGTTGCCCGCGAACTTCACACGCTGTATAAGAGCAAACATGAGACCAAGGTTGCTGCCTTGAAGAAAAGCTATGAGGCACGTTGGGATAAACGACTGCGAGAAGCTGAGAACAAATTAAAATCAGCTTATGAAGACAATGAGCGACTCAAGGTTGAGCGGGATGCAGCTCTTTCGGAAGTCTCCCAGCCTGATCTCAGCATCATCACGCAGAAGGACGAGCATGAAGCAGAGAAACGTGTCCTAGAGGCTCAAATCAAGGGTCTACAGCACGAGTTGAGTGCGCTCAAAGATGACAGTGAGCGATTGCACCATGAGCTGAAAATCGAACGGGCTGAGAAAGGCGAGCTTGTCGCTGCTGTAGATGAGTGGTTAGCAATCCAGCAGAATCAGTCGTCAACCCAGGATGACCTCCAGTCCCCAAGACCGCAGGCGGATAATTCTCCCGAGCCAACGCAAGTTGATGTTGCGTCGGAGGACTTCAGACGAAGCATTAGCCGCAGTAGTTCAAGCAGCATACGTCCCCCGAGCACGGCGTCTAGCAACGGTGAAAAGAAGATACCAAGGATTCCAGCACCGGGGAACCGGCAGGCTCGCGGGAATAGTGGAGGAAAGTCTGGGATTGCTGTCTTCACTCCAGGTCGCAGTGGTATCATGGGCTCGATAGAGCGAATGGGTCGTGGTGGTGTGTGAGAATTTTCTATCTACCTTTGTCTTGTTGTTTTTCGTTTCTGTTCTGTATATCTTCTCTTTCATGGTTTCTCCTTCGGACTTTACTTTGACGATGATCATGTCTCTTTATTCCCCACTGGCGGTGCACTGTTTGAACTGGTCCTCTGTTTGCTGAATATGTGCTTATTGTTCTTTTCGACATTGCTGCAATGGGTTTAACGACCTATTAGTGAATACAATCGATTCTTGATACACTAGGTAGCCACGAGCAACTTTCCTCGACAGGGTAGGTTGAGTGATATCCATGGTCCCCAGAAAGTCGATGCTCTTATCCGTGTAGGCTATGCAGGTATTGCTATATGGAGATAGCCATCTCATCCAGTCCAGTTGTTTTCGGTTATACTATATAGTGCCAGACTACTCCGTTGAACGAGCGTAAATTGGCGTTGTTAGCCGAACAGTAGGACATACATACTGATAGGTTGAATGCCCTTCCCGCTCTGATACTGACTATTAGTATCTATAAACACTACGGATCCTAGAACCAATGCCATTCACGGCCGTTTGTATAGTATAAATAGCGATCAAACATCGTCGATACATCGTCAACCTCTAACCAGGCTAACGGCCTCGAGGTACCTAACCACATCGGCGCCTCTCCCCGATGAGGGAAACATATTCACCACCAAAGTTGGAGCATCTGATTGGATACGCATCCTCTTGGCCTAAATGTAGTACGAAACTACTAGTGAATATCCTCTCTGGCTTGTTTGGGCATTAATGAACCGTCCCCCCCACCCACACTCTCCACTGCATACCCCGCGATCTCAATGAAGGTCATTATGCTTGTGGATGACTTCATACGTAACTATCCATCCTTATAGGTCACTAGCAAAGGGCCAGGAAGATCGGGTTACCGCGAACGTGGGGTGGCAGCTACGTCGGACCGCCTGGCCCAGCTTCGGGAAGATGTCCGACATGCTTATGACCCGATTACACTAATCAATTTATTGGAATGAGGGATTAAATGGAGCAGCGCAGGGACATGCGTTAGGAATTAAGTTTGGTTGTCAACTTGCCTGCTCTGACTCAGATATATTGGTGGCTCGAGCAATGCGCCATGTTCGCTCCTCTGTCTCATTCGGTTTTTTTTATCAAACACTCTCCTAGAAGTGAGGTGGGGGGAGGAAAAGCAGCAATTGAAGTATGCGGACGGATATGGCAGTCATTGACCTGAGCTGAGGGAATTTAATGATTAGATTTACCGATCGTAGACTTCTTATTGTTGCCTGTGGTCCAGACATTATTCGTTACGTACAGACTACGTCGAGTCTTGGCGCCGTCTGGGGAATCGTCGTGATCTTGGCTCTTGGTTTTTCCCCCCGCTTGCCCCGGGGTCAAAGAAATTTTAGTCACTTTACGGGGCCGCGCCTGGGGGAGCCTGGGGTAGTTGGAAAATTTTAGACCAGTGCCACCTTTCTAGCGACTTCGGCGCGGGAAGCGAAATCTCTTGGTATTCCTTGGAGAAGGGGGATACTAGTAGAACCTGGACGGGCGGCGCACAATATCATTAAATGTGAATACTAATACCACACTTTCGGAGAGGCTCCATTATTCCGAACGCTGTTCAGATGGTCCTTGGAGAAACTATTCCCGAACAGTCGGTAGCCCGCGTTCCCATGTTCGCCTGGGACAATACAGTCGCAGTCATTGGTGCTCCTTGTGCCAGAAATGGATAAGCCCACCTAGTCCCACTTTGGTATCCGCTGGGGTAGTATCGATTGGTCTTGGTGTGAGGACTCAGTGCAAGAAAAAAAAAAAAAAAAAACTCTCGTTAAAGAACGGCGAAATACTATGTATGTACTAGCAGTAGTATCACCCCCGAAGTATGGAGTCTGGCTCGTGACACTCGGAAATTGTGATCATGATTATTTTTTGCTCTCGTTTCAGTTGCAGAACCAAGGAAATTGACCTTCTACCTGCCATAAATAGTGATTCATGTCCAAAGACGGTGTTAAGGTATCGGCAACCCGCAATTAGTCCTGAGTCCTCGGACTGACGCCATTTGATGCATCCCAGCAGCATGTAGGTATGTACATATACATATTACATTACCGACAGCATGGCGTAGCGTAGGCCACTTGATCAGCTTCCAAAATGATGTGATGACGACACCGTGCGCCCCCTTCTCTTGCTCTTCTTAGTTCTTGCATCCAGACCATCAAAAAGATTCCTCCGAGTATCGCTAATAATGACTAATCTTACTTTCACCCTGAACTTAAAACCATTGGCACTAGTTCCTGTGCATGTCACCTGCTCTGTTTCTGAACTGCTGGCATCGAAGGTCCCCGGTATGTGATTGGGCCTCCGAATCAACGCTGTTGCTGAATACCGACGGAAAGGCGCCAGGTTTTTTCTCCGAGTAGGTGAGATTATTCCGTTCATCGGCACAACGGTTGACGTCGGCCACGTACCATTCGCCAAAACGATCCAAGTCTCACGTGGAGCTGGGGAGGCTTGTTTTTAGCCTTAGAGGATTAGAAGGTGTCGGATTCCATTCGATGTTCCAAAGTCATTAATGTCCACCCCTGGAGTTATTGAAAAAAAATACTAATAAATAAAATGAATACGTAAATAAAACATAAAAATCCGCAAACAAATAATTGAAAATGTAAAGAAAAAAAAGTAAAAAAAGAGATAAATAAATACTTCTGAGACATGACATTCTTTGAATAAGTATTGTGTACAAATCCGCAGTGTGGCATTCATCCTGGGTTGATATGGAACTTGACATCTAGAACTTGAGCTCCCACCCCTTCCAGCGGCCCGCTTCCTGATGTTCAATTGCGTCTTTTTATTTTATTTTTATTTTTTATTTTTCCCTTTGTTATTTTTTTTATATGTTTTTAGTTTTATTTATTTTGGTCTTGGCGTTTTAAAGCAAAGAGGTACACAGAGCCCTATGGTTCATTTACTTCAGTCAGTGCGTGGGCTATCCGGCTCTCATACCCATTATTCCTGTAACGAGCTGGAAATGTTTTTCCTGTTGGGATCTGGGATCGCACTGGCAAGGGTGGACCATCAACCATAGGATGTACGCACTGCTACCAAGTTTGGTCTCCTCTTAAAAGCTAAAGTACTCTAGTTGTTACTAAGTAGACTCGTAAAAATCACAGGGACCGTGAGCACTATTCTAGAGCACAGCAAATAGAAAGAGAAATCCTATGATCTTCATGGGCCATTCTTTTGATAGATAGTACTGGTCCACTTTCACGGCAAATTAATTTGGTCATCCATATCCTGTGGGTTTCTTTGCGGGATTAACAGTAGATGATCGTCCCCATTTTTTCATCAATGCCTGTCCAGACGCCAAGGTGCCTTCCCTAGGGTCCAATTTTTATGAAAGATAAATACAGAGTAATGTGAATAAACATGTGAGTCGTACATTCCTAAAGCCTATTATGATAGGGGGGGATCATCCTCAATTGACCAGAGATTGTCCCAGTCCGGGTCAACCTTTTGTTTGATGGCATAATCATCGCGGACCTCGGTCCGTGGGAGCATACATCTTTTGACCCGACCCTTCAATCAAGCCGTGATTCAAGCTACCATGCTGGCCAGGAATATCCCAATCCCATATACCTGCCATTTAAGGCAAGAATGAGGTGAGGAAATCCTAGCAACAAGCAAATTTCCTTATCAAGTAAGATGCTCCTGCAGGGTGGACAAAGAACTTTAAGAGACGGGAGCCAACTGGACTCCAGATCCTATCAGTAGTACTATTGTTAAGGAGACCAGTTAAAGAAGAAAAAAATAGGATAAATTAAAATAAAATAAAAATAAAATACATTTTTCGAGACGTTCGGAATTTTTTCCGGGCACAACACCTCTCCCAAATGACGCACCCTGTCCCTTAACTTTTTTGGTTATCAACTTCAAAAGTTGGCCACTCCAGGGGGACGAATTAGGGCAAATCAACGTCCCGGTTGGTCATGGACCAGCCTTTTCCGGGATGGCGTTGCGAGAGATCCAGGTTTCAGTAACGTGACCGGGCCGAGGGACGCTATTCGGGTCTCGTTTGGCGCCGCTGCAAGTCGTAGGCAAGTGGGGAATCCTCACTTCCCAGGATAGACCGTAGGTATCCGGAGGACTTCCTTATTAGTTTCAGGCTCCTAGAATAAATACTAAGGGAAGCCCATCGGGAGTGGAAACGGCTGCGAGGAGTGGAGTAGCATTCGGACCGTCATTGGGTGGGTATGTGGGGAAGGTACAGTAAGCAGTTGCCGACCACTGGCTCAAAGCGCGCGCTCTTCAGCAGTAACTGACTGTGGAATCTCCCCGCTCCACCCACCCCGCCGAACTTAGGCCGCCCTAATCCCATTAGTTCAAGTGTGAGGTAAAACCTAACCCACAGTTGGGTCTAGCGTCCTCTCGGTGGAAAATGGATGGATGACCGATTAATATTGAAACCCTCTGGATTCATGGATGGAGTCCGTTGGTCACGGTCTGGGGGAGGCAACACAGTCACTGTGTGGATCTGGGGGCATTTATCGCCAACCCCAACGCCAACGCCTCCTGACGGATTTGTTGGTGGACGTGTTGCATATTGGTTCACTACTACTTAAACATTCCTTCTCCCCAACCCCAGGTCTCGCCTCTTCTTTTCGTCCCCTTGGACGAAGAAGGTTTGAATGTGGTTCCCCAGCTACCAAACTTATATATAACATAATTTTTTTTTTATAAAAACAAAAAAGAAAAAAAAAAGAAAGAAAGAAATTAAACGAAAGGTCCTCTCCACTCTTGACTCTTTTGATTTGGTTAACAGTTTTGGAATTGTGTTCTCTTTCTTCTTCCATTACCCTTCTTCTTTCCTTACCATATCGGCCCCCCTCTTATAACATCACTCTTTATGAGCTTTAACTTAACACGATAAGTTAACCAGTTGATGGATCTTTGGCGTCAACTGAAATCGCACACTACACCATGACTAATCTCGCTGCCTCACCATCATCGAGTAACAT